AGACTCGCAGAGACCCACAGACTCGCACAGACCCACACAGACTCGCAGAGATCCACACAAACTCGCAGAGACCCACACAGACTCGCAGAGACCCACACAGACTCGCATAGACCCACACAGACTCGCAGAGATCCACAGACTCGCAGAGACCCACACAGACTCGCAGAGACCCACAGAATCGCAGAGACCCACAGACTCGCAGAGACCCACACAGACTCGCAGAGACCCACACAGACTCGCAGAGAGCCACACAGACTCGCAGAGACCCACACAGACTCGCACAGAGACCCACACAGACTCGCACAGAGATTCACACAGACTCGCACAGAGATTCACACACACTCGCACAGAGATTCACATAGACTCGCACAGAGATTCACATAGACTCGCGCAGAGACCCACAGAGACTCGCACAGAGATTCACACAGACTCGCACAGATTCACACAGACTCGCACAGAGATTCACATAGACTCGCACAGAGACCCACAAAGACTTGCACAGAGATTCACAGACTCGCACAGAGACCCACACAGACTCGCACAGAGATTCACATAGACTCGCACTGAGACCCACACAGACTCGCACAGAGATTCACATAGACTCGCACAGAGACCCACATAGACTCGCACAGAGACCCACACAGACTCGCACAGAGATTCACACAGACTCGCAAAGAGTTCACACAGACTCGCACAGAGACCCACACAGACTCACACAGAGATTCACACAGACTCGCACAGAGACCCACCCAGACTCGCACAGAGATTCACAGAGACTCGCAGAGACCCACAGAATCGTAGAGATTCACACAGACTCGCAGAGACCCACAGACTCGCACAGAGATTCACACAAACTCGCAGTTTCACATAGACTCGCACAGAGATTCACACAGACTCGCAGAGACCCACAGACTCGCACAGAGATTCACACAAACTCGCACAGAGATTCACATAGACTCGCACAGAGATTCACACAGACTCGCAGAGACCCACACAGACTCGCACAGAGATTCCCACAGACTCGCAGAGACCCACACAGACTCGCACATAGATTCCCACAGACTCGCAGAGACCCACACAGACTCGCAGAGACCCACAGACTCGCAGAGACCCACACAGACTCGCAGAGACCCACAGACTCGCAGAGACCCACAGAATCGCAGAGACCCACACAGACTCGCAGAGACCCACAGAATCGCAGAGACCCACACAGACTCGCAGAGACTCACACAGACTCGCAGAGATCCACAGACTCGCAAAGATCCACACAGACTCGCAGAGACCCACACAGACTCGCAGAGACCCACACAGACTGGCAGAGACCCACACAGACTCGCAGAGACCCACACACTCGCACAGAGATTCACACAGACTCGCACAGAGATTCAAACAGACTCGCAGAGGCCCACACAGACTCGCAGAGATCCACACAGACTCGCAGAGACCCACAGACTCGCGGAGACCCACACAGACTCGCAGAGCCCCACGCAGACTCGCAGAGACCCATACAGACTCGCAGAGGCCCACACAGACTCGCAAAGATCCACAGAATCGCAGAGACCCACAGACTCGCAGAGACCCACACAGATTCGTAGAGACTCGCAAAGAGACACACACAGATTCGCATCGAGACCCACATACTGACACAGATACACTCACACAAAGGCGCAGCCCTGCATGTGTTTTTTTTTATCACACCCCTTTCAAAATGACCTACATCGAAGGGTATTCCAAGGAAATTCTACGTATAAATAAGAAATAATAAAATAACATAATAGCGTACGACGTTTCGGTTGCAACACAAGCAGCCATCATCAGGTACAGAAGAGCTACATTTACGAGAGAGAGGAAACACATAACCCCAGATGTATATACAGACACCCAAGTAGGGGGGAACTAACACATACAACAGGGGACACAGAGAGAGAAGCATACCAAACAAACAGGGTTTAGCAAAATTTGTAAACCATATAAAGCAACACAGACGGTCGGTCAAAACACGCTATTTCAAAGATTGCTAATTCTTTGAAATAGCAATCTTTGAAATAGCGTAATCAGCCAGCCTATGCGTTAATTGTGTTTTGACCAACCGTCTGTGTTGCTTTATATGGTTTCCAAATTTTGCTAAACCCTGTTTGTTTGGTATGCTTCTCTCTCTGTGTCCCCTGTTGTATCTGTGTTAGTTCCCCCCTACTTGGGTGTCTGTATATACATCTGGGGTTATGTGTTTCCTCTCGTAAATTTAGCTCTTCTGTACCTGATGATGGCTGCTTGTGTTGCAACCGAAACGTCGTACGCTATTTTATTATTTCTTATTTATACGTGACTTTACCGAAAAAACCAAAGAGTAATTCCTGCAGTCACGAAAGCTTCGAATCCAAGTCTGAAGGAAATTCTAGCCTCCTTTACCAAGCTGGCCACCATGCACAGTACTTGCCAATCGATTAGATGTGGTGTATTTATACTATTTAGGGGCGCCACGGTGGGGTGAGAGGTTAACTACCTCGCCTGGTATACAGGAGGTTGTGGGTTCGATCTCTACCCTGATGACGCCTGCTGCTGCTGCATATTTGGAGTTTTCGCGTCTCTCTCTCATTATCATCACGGTGGCTAGGAGATGTTAACTACCTCGCCTGGTATACAGGAGGTTGTGGGTTCAATCTCTACCCTGATGACGCCTGCTGCTGCTGCTGTATATTTGGAGTTTGCGTGTCTCTCTCTCTCTCATTATCATCACGGTGTCTAGATGTTAACTACCTCGCCTGGTGTACAGGAGGTTGTGGGTTCGATCCCGATGTATATTTGGTGTTTGCGTGTCTCTCTCCCCGTGGTCGCGTGGATTTTTACCAGGAACCTTCAGGTTTTCACCACCACATTTATAATCAACATCATCACGGCTTGAGATTATTTGGTTGCTATACATTTCCACACGACGTATAGCCACTTCGTTGAGCGACCATTTGTGAAAAAGAGCGACATATCTCAGTGGGGCTTTCCTGATAAAAAAAAACACACAAGCTTTCCAATGCATACCCTTTCTTTTGGACTCAAAAGTATAAAGTAAAATAAATGCTTTTGACCCCGGAATTCATCAAATGTTTGTGGGTGGCTCGCATGAAGAACATTTTACACGTCGAAAGGAAGGCTACCCACTTTTATTGAGCGCATTAAATTATATTAAGGGGCCGTCCATAAATGACGTCACGCGCCTGGGGGGGGGTCAGACATTTGTGACGAGGGGGGGGGGGGGTGAGAAATGTGACGTCAAATAAAAATGCGCAACTTTAAATAAATATAGACAACACGTTATACTTAATTAAATAGACGTTCTAATAAATGTTTTCTTCTACAGCATCAGAGGGCAGCGCCACATTAAAAACGCACTACAACGACAATAGTTTAAAGCGATTTGAAGCATGTTATATTTTCAAAATGGAAATATGGTTTTGGGGGGGGGGGGCAGAGCTTGTGACGTCATATTTGAGGGGGGGGGTCTGACTTTTTGTGACGTCGTGTGACGAGGGGGGGGGGGGTTAAAATCGTCCAAAATCACGTGACGTCATTTATGGACGGCCCCTAATTCCAGGGTCAAAAACATTTACTTTCTACTCGAGTGCAAATAAAGGTGTGCGCATTTAAAAATCTATATTTTTTTCATTACTTTGTTGTATTTTTGTGTCTACTTGGTGCTTTTGCGCAAAGAGGGGGGGGGGGGGGTGGACCACAGCGGCCGCTCCGGTGCCATAACGAGCGGCGATAGAAGCGCCCCGTTCATTGGTCAAAGGCTGGCCAGCTACATTCGTTGTCATTGGACCAGACGTTTGGTTGAATGGTAGGGGTGGGGGGTGGAATGTACGAGTATTAATTAGTAAACATTTAGTTAAAACAGGAATAGACACCACGATGGGTGGGATCTGGAAAGGCTTTTTTTTTTAAACGAAATCTTGAATCGTCACGCGAGGAAACGAGTCGGTGTGTAGACAATTTCAGCTCGTTCAGCTTCGTAGACCTGAATAGCGTCAAAACATTTCAAAATAATATAAACAAACACGGCAAGTTCAATGAAAGTGTGTAATAATAAATGTTTTTTTCATGGTTTATACTGCGGAAGGAGGGGGTGAGGGTATTTATCATTCCTCCGGTATAATTAAAAGTCTAATAAACGTGCCCGTTGTTAAAACAGCTTGGATGAAATCGCCAACTTTCTGGATTTTGCAAGTCCGGTTTGCTAATCATTACTGCACAAGGCCACTCGACACGTGTGTGAAAGAGAGCTTCATAGCTCATCGGATTCCTCCAGTCTACGTGAAGTTTCTGATACGTTAGAAAACATTCTTCTGAACATGTCAATAACTAAAGTATATAACATGGAATGTTGAGTTTTCGGCTCATGAATGATGATGTGCACGTCATCGTACACGTCATCACTTTTTCTTCCGAATCCATACGTTTACGTCATTGTAACAGAATCAATTCCTGGTTCTTTCGGTAGTCACGTTGAAGGGAAACAATAATATAAATATAAAACAATACAATGATCACGTTTCGACTGCAACAGTCATCACACCTGATAATCACACCTGATGCTGACTGCTGCAGTCGAAACGTCGTGAGAATTTTATTGTTTTATATATTTTATTGTTTCCCTTCAACGTGACTTTACCGAAAGAACCAATAATATGAATCACTGCGGTCACGAAAGCTTTAAATAAAAAAAAATAGAATCAATTCCGTAACGGAATCGGGAAGTAAAAGGCCACACGTGGAGGGGGCCTGACTCTTTGGCGCCAGATATCGGAGAGCACGGCGGTCGTGTCGCTAGGGTTGTCTGCGGCGAGTAACGTCTTTAAAAACACGGCGCTGCGAATTACGCCTCCAGATAAAAAATTAACGGCGAGTCGCTTGTGATGTTCCCGAGATTCGACGGCGAACGGACGTCTCGGAACGGAAATGCGTTATCGCAAATCTGTTTCTCTCTTAAAAACCAAGGAAAAACCCTGTTAACTTTGCAGTGCTTTATTATTATTTTTTATTGCAGAACCTTTGACAGTGCTAAGTAGAAACAATTTGGGGGGGGGGAGGGCGTATGTACAGTATGACAGATGTTTAGTTTTTTTTACACGACAGCCCATTTAGAATCATCCCTTGTGCAACAGAGACCCAGGGGGTAACACAAAGCATTGTAGCACACACGTGTGCACAAACATGGGGAAGCAAACAAAAAAACTTAAAACAAATCCAAACAACCCCCCCTACCCGCCCCACCATGCACAACCTAAAAAAAGTACAACCAAATCCAAAAAAAAAATTCAAGGCGTTACCGCACGCAATACGAACACGTTATTAAACTGTGACGGCATTCTTTACATAGGGGGGGTGAAACACTTGGCGCGCAAAATCTGGTGACAAAAGCGACTTTTTCCGACGCCCGCAAGGGCGATGGGCATCCTTCGTGACAAGGGGTCCTGCGCAAAGGAACGCGGGCGACATTTCTAAAATCATTACGGCGCTGTCAAATGGCTGCGTCTCGAACCGTGGATGATACCCCGTCCCATACGGTAACCACGGGAGGATGTTCAGCCTTAAACCACGCTTAGCCTCAATTCTTAATTAATCCCCCGTGAAGGTCTCGTCTCATCGGAGGGCCGAGCGGAAGCCACGTGGTGGTAAGCAGCAGCAAGCCACCGCCACCACCACCACAGGGTGACCTACAAGCTTGCAGTGACATCTTGATAGCTGGCCAGCTTTGGGATAACTTCGTTCGCGCGTGCGTGCGCATCGATTAGCGCTGGTAATCCGACGTCGAGCGGCGTCACACAGGATGCCGACCCAACGCCACAGCCGCCGCCACCCCCCCCCCCCCTTCCAAAGCCTACTGGGTTCGACTCTTGGCCATGGCTGGCGAGAGTAGCAAAAAGTGGCGAAATGGGCACCACGAGACCGACAACACCCCCCCGGGCGCGTCTCCGGCAAGGTTGATTCGCCGTTAACCGTTGGTTTGCGGGTGCAGGGGATACAAGGGAGTCGGCCCCGTATCCGGAACGTGTCCCCTCGCGTGCCGTAGCAGGCGCTGGCCGTCGTAGGCGCTTGCAGATGGCGATTGCCCCCCCCAGCAGGCAGTAATGGAGGGGTGGGCGATCTTTAAGGCCAAAGCAAGGTCAGGCAATATGTGATCGTAGAAAGGAAGCTTGCGTACGCGATTTTCCCAATGACGGGTCCAGCGTTAATTGTCCGGCGAGCAACCGTTCAACGTGCCTTGCTTGTTGTTTAGCTTGTCTTCCACACCCCCCGCCCACCGCAACCTCTGATTAGCATGGTTGGTAAAGTACGGTGCCAGAGAAGTTCAACGTACACACGAGCATACATATGTGCCGAAAACAAAGATTACGGGATGATAATTTACGTTAAAAAAAACCTGCTATGTAAAACACGAATTACACATTTTCATAAAGAGTGTGTGAAGAAATACATAAATGTTACTTTATTAACTATACATAGTACTTGTATAAAATGCATTTGTTATTTTTGACTCTACAACTTCAAAATGGTCGCTCTGGCGCGCAAGCGTGACAACTCCGCTTTAATCCCACGCACAACCCTTTTGTAAAGAACTCCAGGGAACGAACTCTCTCCGCAACTTACTCCGGCCTACCGCGCACCGCCAATAACGATAAAACCACACACACACACCACCACCTCCACTTCTAACAATGGCCAACAAAACATTAATCTGATTCGCTATTAGCCCGTGCTAACCAAGGGGGCATGCGGGAAGTTGTGGTCTTTACCGGCCTAGGTGGCGAATGCTAGCAGCATTCAACTTGACGGCTATCCATCAACACCACTACCACTACCATGGTCAGAAAGGTTAACGTTATATCAATTGTCCGTTTTCATAGACACGCACTTAATATGCATTAAAGATTTTTTTTCCCCGTAGACGTTTCCTATCAAATGAGTTCTCCCAAAACAATCTATAAAATCGGACATTCTACGGCACCCTTCGACAACATCGTACATATTTGTGATCGAGGAAGAAAAAAAAACCCCACCGCTTTCATAAAATCATTATTAGCATTTGCCACCCTGGCTGGGAAAGATAAGAAATTGTTGAGTCAATTGGCTCAAAGACCCCTCTGGGCCATTATGTCATCCACCTCATCATCCATCCTGCCGCACCTCCCCTTAAGCGCATTCATAAAAATAAATATTACAATTAATCAACTGTGTGAGCAGGTGCGAGAACAAAAGACACCCCTCCCCGCACCCCCTTCCGCTCTGCAAATTTGATCTTTCCTAACAAACGTACAAATGCACAGGACATAGGCACCACCACCACAGTGATTCTCAACACGTCAACGACGTCACGACACCGATTTGTGAATGGCGTGTAGCACGACTCGCAGGTAATAGCGTGTGGTCTCACTCCCGTTTGATTATTATTCACATTTGTTCAATGTGCGTTGCCCCTCCCCCCAATTTATATCCCTATTGTGCTACTGCCATGTCATGAGTTACTTTAAAATAATCTAAATTGAAAACGAATTTCTTAAAGAACCACTTTGTGTTCAGTTTAACCTTCCCCCGCACCTCCAATTAGCGCCGGTTGCCAACGTACGGTGCGAAAGAAGTTAAACGTACATACGTATTAAGGCTGACAGTTGTCATCTCGGGAGATGGGCGTCAACACTTGGGCGCGTAATCATAACGGGTCGACACACCGACCGAAATATATTCTCACAACTCCACACTTCTTCTAAATCGTGCATGGTAACAGGAGTCTGATAACTAACGTTGCGCAAAATACTCTTGCAAATACGCGCCCTGACGTGAGTGTAGGAAAATGCACAGCTAAGACAGGGGTAGCAGGGGAGTGGGAAAAGAGAACACAAACAAGGCAGCGCCAAAGGTAGACGAAAATATTATTCTTGAATCAAACTGAAACGCCAAATTGTGACAATTCATTCAATGGCTTTGGGGGGGGGAGGTGTTGTACGGGGGATATGGAGGCAAACGTTGTGACATACCTAGACAACGCCAATTTAGAACAAGTATATTACGTTTTGTGCTTTAATCTCATCTTGTAACTGGGCTGAAACGATTGCTTTGCAGCGCACGAGAAATTGCTCATTTCTTTAGAAATCCAGGAAATAATTTGGAGGGGGGGAGGCAGCGGTAGAGGGAAAGGTGACAATACCAACATGGGCAGGAGCCCACGGGGGGATTATTCAGCCACCTCCAAAATTCTGAATCTGTCACGACAAAAAAAAACGGCAGCGGCTTTTCCGTAGCTTTCCACACTGGAGGTCAACGGCAAGTGACCTCCACGGCGCATCGAAGCCTTCGGCCTACCTCGATGAAAACCCCTCAACTAAACTACTTTTATTTTACCAGGTGTAAGGCCCCACTGAGCTATGTAGCTCTTTTTTCAGAAGGGACCTGGCAATTACAAATGGTAACTCAACGAAGTGGCTTATCATCGTGTGTAAATGTACGAACAGCCAAATACTCTAAACGCGTGACATTGATTCTAAATGTGGGGAGGAAAATCCGTAGGACCTGGATAAAAATCCACGCGACCCACAGGGGAGACATCTAAAACTCCAAAAGGACAGCAGCAGGCGTCAGGATCGGGATCGAACCCATGACCTCCTGCATACCACGCGAGGTAGTTAACATCTCGCCAATGTCACCCCACCCCCGCCTCTCTCCCACCCACACAACCACCCACATCCCGAACCAAACTCTCCGCTCCGTCTGCCTCATACCACGCACACTGGAGCTGTGAGAAGTAAAAAGGAGTGAACCAAAAAAGTAGGGGATAGCAGCTGGGGGGGGGGCGGGGGGCGTTGTGGTGGACGGTCCGCTCCTGACCTGCAAGGGTTTCATGTCGGCAAGCCGAAAAGCAAAGTCGCTTCCTGTCGATATAAAAAGACAACACAAACAAGGCGGTGATGGTGGGGGGGGGGGGGCATCACACCATGCCACGGAACTGAAAACCCTTCCGGAGCACGGTTGCGAGAAACGCACGACGTGGCCATTGGAACAACTTCACGGTTTTTCTGTTTAGTTTTTTTAATCCCGCGGCAATTTCGGAAACGCGACAAACGACAACGATGGAAGAGGAGGCGCGAAGTCAGAGGCAGTCCATGGAGTTGCTGTTGTCGGGGTGGACGTTGAGGGCAAGGGCGGAGGACGACATGCCGAGCGGCGGTGGCGGCGAGAAGGCTGGCAATCCCTTCGTGGACAGTCCCGGCGAGGCCGTCGCCGCCGTCATGGACGCCGCAGAGTTCGATGCCAGCGCCGGGTCGACGTTCTCACGCTCCGCCACTTTCTGCGAGTCGTCCCAGTTGATCTGGAACCGTGTGACGCGGGGGCTCGTGCCCAGCACGTTCCTCTGGAGCTGGAGGGGAATATACCACGGGAGTGGGCGGGCGGAGAGGGAGCCGTCGTTATTGTGATTCCACCCCGACTGGACATGTGTGAGCTTCATAGCTCATCGGATTCCTCATCCAGTTTAAGTAAAGATTCTGATTCTGTGTTCATTACCAGGGCCCAGGAATAGGAGCTAGGTTGGATACCAAGAGCTGCATTGCAAAGCCTCAAGGACCGAGGCAGGTTAATTATCACCAAAAGCCTGAGAATAGCGCGGCAGGTTCACTATCACAACTAAAACTATTTTTTTATTTTACCAGGTAAGGCCCCACTGAGCGATGTGGCTCTTTTCATAAGCGGCCTGGCTATCACAAATGATGGCCCAACGAAGTGGCTTATTATCATCACGTGGAAATTGAAAGCTAAAAGTCTCTAAAACGTGTGAAGTTGATTCTATACGTGGAGGGGAAAAAACCGGAGGACCTGGAGAAAAGCCATGAGACCACGGGGAGAGAAACTTGCAAACTCAAAATATACAAATTTTCGGGATCGAACCCACAACCTCCTGTATAACAGGCGAGGTAGTTAACATCTCGCCTCCCGTGGCGCCCCAGGAATTAAAGCCTGGTTTAGTTTTAACCGGCTATATCATCAACGATCTCGGACTTGAGCTAAAATTAAGCTTTTAAGTGGCCATATAGGCCACATTTAGTGGTAAAAGGACAGCGATTGGGCCAGGTTTATCATCACGACCCACAGATTAAGCCAGATTAAGTGTTAGGAATATCAAGGGCTGAGCCAGATTAGGCGTGAGGAGCCCAGGAATTGAAGCTAGATTAAGTGTTAAAAGTCAAGAAATTCAGCCCGGGATAATTACCACAGCCCACGAATTAAGTCAGATTAAGAAGTAACGAGGCGATGGATATAACCAGGTTTATTTTCGCAAGGCCCAAAAATAAGGCCCGATTAAAAAAACTAAACTATAAAAACTATTTTTTAATTTTACCAGGTAAGGCCCACTGAACTATATATCTCTTTTTCAGAAGTGACCTGGCCACAAACGATAGCTCAGTGAAGTGGCTTATCACATACAAATGTATAACAGCTAAATACCCTGAATGCACGTTGATTCTCAACGTGGAGGGAAAAAAAACGGAGGACCCGGAGAAAAATCCACACAATCACAGGGAGGGAGAAACATGCAAACTCCAAATATGCATGTTGAACTTCTTTCACAACGTACGTAGCAAACTGTGCTAATCGGAAGTTGCGGGGTAAGGACAACAAACTAAACACAAAAAGCAGTTTTAAATAAATGAGGTTTCAATCTAGATATGAAAGTGCATAGCTCCAGTGGCTTCCTAATATTGGACAGACGGCCGCAGAAGCGCATCCAAAAGCACGCTATGTTTTGACCGTCTTTGTTCGATGGCCAGTCAAATATGCAGCAGGCATCGTCAGGGTCGAGGGGATTGAACCTACGCGCTCCTGCATAACCTGGCACGGCAGTTAATATCTCGCCAACCGTGGCGCACCTTGGAGTAATCAGGTTTGGCGGGAGGGTTCTCCTTGAGCTCGGGGTCGATGTACTCGTTGTTGACGTAGTAGCCAATGCGGATGAACTCCTGGTTGCGGTACGTGCACGTGATGAGCACGACCGTGACGCCGACCGCGTCCGTGTCGGGGATCAGCTCCGGGTTCGCGGCCATCGCCTACAGCGAGCGGGGGGACGCAGATGGAGCGAAAGAGAGAGGGGAGATGGGTTGGAGGGATATGAGATGGAGGGAAGGAGATTGACAGAGCAAGATGACAAGATATAGGAAGACGGAGGGAGATGCAGAGACAGAAAGATAGAGAGATATAGGAAGACAGAGAGAGGGAGACAGGGAGGATGTTTGAGAGAGAAAGAATTTGGAGCAGGCCGAGGAGGAATATGGAGGGAGACAAGTTCAATGGAGGGAGATATAGGGAGACAAAGACACAGAGAGGGAGATAGCATGTGAAATAGAAAGATGGAGGGGAAGAAGATTGAGGGCAGCAACAAGGGGAAGATGGAGCAGGACACAAGTTAACCAACAATGCCATTTTGCCACACTTCCATCTGCTGCCTATAATGTAATAATGCAGCAACAGCAGCCTATAACACTCCGCTGCTTCATGCATAGTGGTCGCCCTTCCAAGCACTATGTACGTATGTATTTGGAACTTCTTTTGCAACCGTGCTCATCGGAGATGTTGAGCGCTAACCCTGCGTAGTTTCCCTACATGACTAAAATCGGGGTGTATTCCAGCAGATTTGGTCACAGGCACTGTAGCACATAAGATAAATTAGAGCAGATTTGACCAAGATTTGTGCACAGTGCGTTCGACGATTAAGGACAACTGTTGGCTATGATGATCATCATTACGATAATGCAGCAGGGGTGGCCAACCTGTACCAGATCATGAGCCAAAAAGTACCCGCGAGTTCTGCGGCCATCCTCCCCGTCCATAGCACGGATAATCGAGTTTATTGTATAAAAGTTTATATATAGTGACAGTTTTCGGTACAGCACGGGAGACGTTCATTATTCTTTGCTACGACTGTGATAGTACATTTCTACGTGATGCCCCTTTGATAGAGCCACGTGATGAATTAAAGAGCCGCATTTGGCTCGGGAAACACCGCTTGGCCACTGCTGCGGTAACGCTACTGGTGACGACGATAGCGCTATGCAACGATGATGTCCAACGCCGAAACGCATACATTCATTCACGAACAAAACGCGACATTTCGAGACAACGCAAAATATAAGGCGCCGCACAAAAAAACAAGACGAAGAAACCGACCGCAATCGCGATGGCACAGTGGATGGAGGAAGAAGAGACAGAGAGACAGATCGAGATCGGTACCTGGAAGACGAACATGTGGCAACCGGCGGGGACAGGCCCCACGAGCACCGAGTCCAGCGTCTGGTCGTACTCCTCGCTCTCGGCCGAGCCCACGTAGATAATCTTCCACTCTAGGTCTACGATACAAAAAAATAGTAAAATAAAATTACGTCACAAATTCTGTCCACGTGCTGCATGCATGTTGAACTGCTTTCGCACCGTACGTGGCCGACCGTGCAAAGCGGGCAGAGGTGCGGGGGGAAGGATAACAAACCAAAAAACTAGTTTCTGTAGATTTAGAGGCATGGGGGAAAACCCATGTGAAGCACTAGATAGACGGCCAGAGGCGGCGCCAACAAATGCCCGAGTTCTGTGGTCCTATATTAGAATGTTTGATCAACTCCGTTACGTGTACGTCATCGGAATGGCACTGGCGTGTGGCAGAGTAGAGAGTGGCGGTCGTGTTGCTACAGTCTCCTGTGGTGAGTAACAATGTCTTTAAAAACAACGGCGCTCCTACGCATCCCTAAATTAAGTTAACGATGAATCGCAGATAATCAATTAACTGTGATGATTTCGGGGTCGTCACTCGGAATCGAGGTTGCTTCGCATGTACACTTTTATTAAATACAATACGTAGCGCGACCAAATGCGACCCCCATCTTAAGAACCATGATTGACGTAAATGAATCGTGAGCACAATATTTAGCAGAAAACGTTAAAATTCATTATTACAAACCTGCCAACCCGTACGATTCACCTGTATTATTGTACAGGGAAATTTAGTTTTCAGGCGCATAGAGCGTAAAGCCGTTTCAATACGCTCAAAATCGTTGTTTTTGTCTGTGGTTCTCCCTTGTGATGGGACTTTGTAGGATGAACGTTGAGATTTAAAAGGGCACGGGGTGACCAATAAGATCTGAATTGCTCCGTAATAAGGTAGGGCACTGATAAGGCGTTGACGGGTATGTTATTACAATGTCTGGCTCGCACACACACACACATCGGGCCATGTTTCTCACTCCTTTAGCCGGGCGTTCCATCGTTCGCCTCGACCACCCCACTCGCCACCTCGTCTAGCGACATGGCTTAATATACAAAGCAATGTTTATTGTAATTAAATCACGGAACTCAAGAGAATATTGTAGGTCCAATACGGTGTTGTCTGCGTATGAACAGTATTTCCGTGTTCACCGCTTTTGTCAATCCACTGCTGGAATGAGGGCCTCCCCCACGTCGTGGTGGTAATTTGGACCATACTTCACTGCACCGGTCAGTGCCAATCCAAGGAGTTATGCACAGAAGGTTGAGCATTGTACGGTACAACTAAGTACAACATTGTTTATTGTTGCCTCTGCTGGCAAAGCATATGAATATACGACTACTATTTTTCCTCGTATTATTTGAGTTTGTACGAGTGCCCTATGTAATTTACGCGGTTAAACGCTTACGGTGTATTTACACTCGGGACTAAATAACTCTCCCCCCACCCGGCAAAAAAAAATCGCGCCAAATTGTGTTTGTACGCACAAGTTGCCTCACCACGGCATGCGGCGTTACTGAATGGCGTTTCGTCTGGCTATATAAGTGTGTCGTTAACCAATCGCGTCGTGCCGTTTAACGCTTAAACATTTCGGGTCGTTTTAATTTGCCGCGCGATTTGTTTTGTCGATTGCAATCGGAACGTCACGTCGCTCGGATGATCGAATTAAAGTCGCCCCAAGCACCATTATATTTTTGTATTTTACGTTCTGAAACTATAGCATTGTTGCACGGACGGGGCCTGTCGCTTTTTACTCTTCTTCCACCGAATAACATTTTATCGCGGAGTTTGTCGATTCTCGCGCCTCACAAAGTGAAATGCAGAAAATCGCGCCAAATTGCACTGTACGCCGATGTACAGTGCGCGCGAGTCCAATCTACATTTACACATTCCCGAAAACCGCTTTACCCCGCCGTATAAATCTCGTAGCGTAGGGGGGGGGGGTCTCTTCATTTTACCTCACGGCTGTTTATATTTAACACTTTTTCGTTATTCATTTGTTTGAAATCTAAACAAAATCGCGCCCAATCGCGTTGTGTACAGTACGCGGCACCGTACAGCATTGACAGCTAAAAAGTGTTCGTCCCGTCACTTGAATAACGCGGACTATTTTTTTTATTTTTTAAACTCTCCGTTGTAATTTAATAACGCGGCGTTCGTATGTTTTTTTTTAATCCCCCGCGTTATTACTAAAAGAGTCGAAACTTAAATTGCGCCAAATTAATTATCGCGCGCTTTTTAGCGCCAAATCAGGGCCTCACGCAATATCCCCACGGCCTCAGATAGATTTAACTTTTTTTTAAAACAATACTACTAAAAAAACACTTACCCTAACACACACAACTACACAGACAAGAACAAAAATACGCAAACCGCAAAAATTAAACGCCGATCAATACACGAAACACGCTAACACTCGTTTGAAGCCTGTAACACAAGGCCCTCAAAAACACAACCCATCCACCACCCGCTAACATCGATAAAAACGTTTTAAAATACGCCACGGTAACAAAAAAGTAGTAAGATTTCTTGGTGTAATACGTTAAAGTTGCGTTAACGATATATAGTATCGTTAAGTATAACTATTATAATAACCAGGCGTCACAATGTCACGCTTTTTTTAAAGTGGAGATTATGGCCTTAATAGGCGCGGCGCCGCCTACGTACACTTTATAGTTTCCCAAATATATATTAGGAGCAAAATGTAGTAACACCCCCCCACTCTCGCTCTGTATCACAAACAACTCTTAACGATGTCAACGTGTAACTCCACTAAGATGTGAACCACGACAAACCAACGGTGGGTGGGTGGGTATAAAAGTCAGACATCACTACATCGGGCCATTTCACGGTTAAAATAAGGTTTAAAAAAGTACCTAGCAACAATTTGCTGCGACCGTTTACAACAACAAAAGTGTGAGCAATATAAACCGATCAAAACAAACACTACTCATTGTAACCGAGTCACAAGGCAGACAGACGGACTCCCGGTTTTTATCCGCGAGGTTTTTGTGTTGTTTTAATGAGTGACAATGGGTAACAACATTACGCGGGACCGCGATACATTGGTGCGTTTCAAGAGAGGGAACGGTCTTAAATGTTGTGCACCATAAATCAACAAAAAACACCCCCCGTAGAGAGACTGTGCTTTTTATTAATGTAAGCCTTTCCACAGTCGTTTTAATTTCATCGTATACACTCGGGTTTGTCTTGTTTGTGTGAGAGATCTTCATTCAACGAGCACGATGATCCACATGATTATAACTCGTGATGATGATCCGAATGGTAACTCGCGTGGCGATGATCCGTACGATTATAACTCGTGACGATCTTCCGATGTTGAAATGACGATTGGGCAAGTCGCCACCACAAACGGCCAACGATTCAATTTTCAAGCGCCCCCCCATTCGTCGACGTTCACCGATGAACGCGACTCGAAACCCAAACAACAAACTATAAAACGCAACCAGCTTGGCAGAGAACATCAACGACGATGAACGATCGTGATCACACACCGTGGAAGTGATGCGTTTTAACATTCGACAAGAAGCGTCGACCGCTACCCCACCACCACCACTCCTCCTCCGCTACACATCCGACACGGGCGCACAGAACAAAACCAACCCCCACAAAAGTAAATCGGCGCCAACGTCAAAATCTGTTCGTAAACTCCTCCGACAGCACGAACCTTCGAGCAGATCCTCGGTGCACTCGAAGGTGATCTCGAACTGGAAGGGGTTGAAGAAGGGGGACGGGTTGTCGAGCACCACCACATTATTCACTTGAACCTTCGCCATGGGTGCTGCTGCTGTTGCTGCTGCTGCTGTCCGTGCTCACGTAACTACTCGGGGTGGGGGGGGGGGGCTTTTGCTGGTTTGTCTACAATTACAATGATTGCCGCTCTTCGTCACCGCTGTTTGTAACGACGACAGGCAGCAGCTTGGTGTAGTGTCTCGCTGTTGTTATTAAGAGACGTTAATTGTTCCCAAGCACGCGCCTCCCCTCCCGGAGATTACCGATTGTGATTTGTTTGACCCAACAACCGCTTGTTTGGAACTCCCAATGCTGCCACAACTCGTAAAATTCGCGATTTTTTCTCTTCCCACTCTCCCCCCCCGACGACGACGACTATTTTACAGTCACCGAATCTGGCCCTCGTGAACGCGCTCCCTTGGTATTACAAACACACGGTAAACGAACCACAAATTAAATGACAACTCTTATCAGCGGGTAGTTCCAGAGGCGCTCTTTCCACGGTCTACGCCTCTCGCCCCGGGGGGGGTCTCCGCTGCGTCTCCTCTCTCGTTCCCGCGTACGCGGCCACGCTTCTTGAACGGGGCGCGAGCCGCGCCTCCCATTGGCCCGGGGCGCCGTCACGTGGTTTTTTTTGTGGGGGGGAGGAGGGAGAGAGGGTAACGATTCTAATTGGTTAAACGATTCAATTCTCTCGGCTAACGATTCTATTTGTCTTTTGTGTAAAGGTTCGATTCAATCGGTAAAACAATTTCATTCCCTTTGGGTAACGACTCCATTAATCAGATCGTGTAACGATTCAATTATATTTATTTAACGATTTGATTCAATGGGTAACGATTATATTGATCCTTACGTGTAACACTTCGATTCCTATCGGTTAACGATTCCATCCCTTGAGTAACGATTCAATTTTGGGGGGTAACGATTCCATTCATTTGGGTAACGATTCCATTCCTTTCGGGTAACGATTCCATTTACCTTTGGTGTAACGATTGGATTCAATTGGTAAAACGATTCCATTCCTTTGGGTAACGACTCCATTAATCCTTACGTGTAACGATTAAATTCCAATTGATTAACGCTTTGATTCAAAGGGGAACGATTCTATTGATACATTCGATTTCAATTAGTTAACGATTCCATCCCTTGAGTAACGATTCCATTTATCATTACGTGTAACGAATCCATAGCAACTGGTTCACGATTCGATTCCATGGGTTAGGATCCTTTTATCTTTGGTGTAACGATTCAATTCAATTGCTATAAAGATTCGATTCCGGTGGGTACCGATTCCATTTATCATTTACGGGCAACAATTTGATTTCAAATTCTGCAGATATATAGATGCCACTGGTTCTTTACGTTATGCAGATGTGTAGATGCCACTGGTTCTTCAAGTTCTGCAGATGTAGATGCCACTGGTTCTTCACGATCTACATATGTAGCTGCCACTGGTTCTTCACGTTCTGCAGATGTAGATGCCACTGGTTCTCCACGTTCTGCAGATGTAGATGCCACCGGTTCTTCACGTTCTACAAATGTAGATGCCATTGGTTCTTAACGTTCTACAAATGTAGATGCCATTGGTTCTTCACGTTCTGCAGATGTAGATGCCACCGGTTCTTCAAGTTCTGTAGATGTAGATGCCACTGATTCTTCACGTTCTGCAGATGTAGATGCCACCGATTCTTCAAGTTCTGTAGATGTAGATGCCACTGGTTATTTACGTTCTGCAGATGTAGATGCCACTGGTTCTTCAAGTTCTGTAGATGTAGATGCCACTGGTTCGTCATGTTCTCCAGATGTAGATGCCACTGGTTCTTCACGTTCTGTAGATGTAGATGCCACCGGTTCTTCATGTTCTGCATATGTAGATGGCACTGGTTCTTCACGTTCTGCAGATGTAGATGCCACTGGTTCTTCATGTTCTGTAGATGTAGATGCCACTGGTTCTTTACGTTCTGCAGATGTAGATGCCACTGGTTCTGCAGATGTAGATGCCACTTGTTCTTCAAGTTCTGCAGATGTATATGCCACCGGTTCTTCACGTTCTGCAGATTTAGATGCCACTGGTTCTTCACGTTCTGCAGATGTAGGTGCCACTGGTTCTCCACGTTCTGCAGATGTAGATGACATTGGTTCTTCACGTTCTGCAGATGTAGATGCCACCGGTTCTTCAAGTTCTGTAGATGCCACTGATTCTTCACGTTCTGCAGGTGTAGATGCCACCGGTTCTTCAAGTTCTGTAGATGTAGATGCCACTGGTTATTTACGTTGTGCAGATGTAGATGCCACTGGTTCTTCAAGTTCTGTAGATGTAGATGCCACTGGTTCGTCACGTTCTCCAGATGTAGATGCCACTGGTTCTTCACGTTCTCTAGATGTAGATGCCACTGGTTCTTCATGTTCTACAGATGTAGATTCCACTGGTTCTTCACGTTCTGCAGATGTAGATGCCACCGGTTCTTCATGTTCTGCATATGTAGATGGCACTGGTTCTTCACGTTCTGCAGATGTAGATGCCACTGGTTCTTCATGTTCTGTAGATGTAGATGCCACTGGTTCTTTACGTTCTGCAGATGTAGATGCCACTGGTTCTGCAGATGTAGATGCCACTTGTTCTTCAAGTTCTACAGATGTATATGCCACCGGTTCTTCACGTTCTGCAGATATAGATGCCACTGGTTTTTCACGTTCTGCAGATGTAGGTGCCACTGGTTCTCCACGTTCTGCAGATGTAGATGCCACTGCTTCTTCAAGTTCTGCAGATGTAGATGCCACTGGTTCTTCAAGTTCTGTAGATGCCTCTGATTTTTCAAATTCTGCAGATTTAGATTCCACTGGTTCTTTAATTTCTGCAGATGCCACGAGTTCTTCATGTTCTGCAGATGTAGATGCCACTGGTTCTTCAAGTTTTGGAGATGGAGATGCCACCGGTTCTTCAGTTTCTGCAGATGTAGATGCCACTGGTTCTTCATGTTTTGCATATGTAGATGGCACTGGTTCTTCACGTTCTTCAGATGTTGATGCCACCGGTTATTCAAGTTCTGCAGATGTAGATGCCACTGGTTCTTTACGTTCTGCAGATGTATGTGCCACTAGTTCTTCACGTTCTGCAGATGTAGATGCCACTGGTTCTTCAAGTTCTGCAGACGGACATGCCACTGGTTCTTCTGTTTCTGCAGATATAGATGCCACTGGTTCTTCAAGTTCTGTAAATGTCTCTGATTTTTAAAATTCTGCAGATGTAGATTCCACTGGTTCTTTAATTTCTGCAGATGGCACGAGTTCTTCATGTGCTGCAGACGGAGATGCCACTGGTTCTTCTGTTTCTGCAGATATAGATGCCACTGGTTCTTCACGTTCTGCAGATGTAGATGCCACCGGTTCTTCACGTTCTGCAGATGTAGATGCCATCGGTTATTCAAGTTCTGCAGATGTAGATGCCACGGGTTGTTCAAGTTCTGCAGATGTAGATGCCACCGGTTCTTCAAGTTCTGTAGATGCCTCTGATTTTTTAAATTCTGCAGATGTGGATGCCACTGGTTCTTCACGTTCTACAGATGTAGATGCCACTGGTGTTTTCATGTGCTGCAGATGTAGATACCACTGGTTCCTCACGTTCTCTAGATTTCGATGCTACTGGTTATTCACGTTCTGCATATGTAGATGCCACTGGTTCTTCACGTTCTGCAGATGTAGATGCGACTGGTTCTTCAAGTTCTGCAGATATAGATGCCACTGGTTCTTTACGTTCTGCAGATGTGTAGATGCCACTGGTTCTTCAAGTTTTGCAGATGTAGATGCCACTGGTTCTTGATGTTCTGCAGATGTAGATGCCACTGGTTCTTCACGTTCTGCAGATGTAGATGCCACCGGTTCTTCAAGTTCTGCAGATGTAGATGCACTGGTTCTTCAGTTTCTGCAGATGTAGATGCCAGTGGTGCTTCACTTTCTGCATATGTAGATGGCACTGGTTCTTCAGTTTCTACAAATGTAGATGCCACTGGTTCTTCACGTTCTGAAGATGTAGATGCCACTGGTGTCTTCGTGTTCTGCAGATATAGATGCCACTGGTTCTTCAAGTTCTGCAGATGTAGATGCTTTGAAACGGCGATTTACAACAACGCTCAGCCTCGTTCCGTTGACGTCACAGCACACGCGGTGCATGTCACACACGGTGACGTGTGAAACGTGGGAATGGGTTTGACCCCCTTTGTGGCAATAAAACAGGTGTTGAGATGTTCAAACACCTACATTTAAGGTACCTTTTGCAAGGAATCGAGTGTGCATTAGCGACACACACGTACTTGTGAAAACAACAAAAAACATCGAAACAAACATGCTCTGTTATGAATAATAATGTTCGGGAAAGCCTTATCGCTACTTACTACGTGTTTAATTAGAATAGGTTTTACCCCTTTGTGCCAATAAAACAGGAGGTGTTAAGATGTTCAAACACCTAAATTAGATCGCTTTTGCAATGCACCAAGTGTGCATTAACCACACAAAGTTCTTCTGGCGAAAACAAACATGCCTTTATTATGGATAATATTGGTCACGGAAGCTTTACTACTAATTTCTACGTGTTAAATAAGAATAGGTTTTACCCATTTGTGCCAATAAAACAGGAGGTGTTAAGATGTTCAAACACCAAATTATATACTTTTTGCAAGGAATCAAGTCTACATTAACCACACACAGTAGTTGTGGCAAAAAACATGCAAACAAACACGATTTGATAACATATGCATTGTCTTTGGAACTTATAGGCCTACACCAGAGACAGCCTTCTATTGTGTTATATATTTAATGCCACATTCTAAACGATGCTCCATCACATTTGATTCATTATGATTATATATTTTTTATATCGCATCGTTCGTGCAAAACTGCATCTCACACAAGGCTCTCCAAGACAGAACATAAAATACACAAAGGAAAAATATTGCACCAGGCAAGGCCCACTATAGCTGTGTAGCTCTTTTTTAGACGAGACCTGGGCCATCACAAATGACAGCTCAGCGAAGTGGGATTATCATTACGTGGAAGTGTATTGCAGGTAAATTCTCTAAGCGCTCGTGGATTCTAAATGTGGAGAGAAAACCCGGAGGACACGGGGAAAAATCCACGCGACCATGCGGAGAGAGACACGCAAACTCCAAATATACAGCAGCCAGGCGTCAGGGTCGGGATCGAACCCACCACCTCATGTTTACATAGAACAATGGAACCAAGGTCAACTCAATTGACGGCCAAAGTAAATAATAAGGTTTCTTTTTAATGGACTTCAGACTCAGAATATTTATTTGTACTGGAGGAATCCGATGAGCTATAAAGCTATTTTTCACGCATGTCCAGAAGTTGGGGCACGGGGTCAGAACAACAAACACTGCAAAAACACGATGGGAGTGCAACGTATAGGAAAGGTAAACAAATCATATTAAAACGTATATACAAATACAATTTAACTATATATATGTTTTTTCTTTCCAGGTAAAGCCCACTGAGCTATTCACTTATATTTTAGAAGCGACCTGGCCACAAACGCTAGCTCAACGAAGTGGCATATCACGCGGCAATGTACAGCAGCCACGTAATATAAACGCACGTTTCAGTCCGGTGTTGCACATTAGCGGCACGGTATTTTGTAAAAAAAACAAAACATGAGAGATATTTTCCAAAGGAGCCGACTCTATCAAAAATACAAACGGAACTAAACTATATGTATACAAAAATCCTTGCTTGAATAAGTGTAACGGGACTTAATTCGCAGGAACGTGGAGTGGGAGTGCACGCGCCCACCAACCCATCCAATGCCTTGCGCTTAATTTTGTATCTTTTCGAATGAGCGGCTCCTTATCAGATTAATGAAGTATCCTGGTTGATAGATACTCAAGGTTCCAATTGGTGGGTGGGGCAGCGGTGGGGGGTGGGCGTGGCGGAGAAGCGTGATGACGACACAAGAGATTGGTGCCAGAAAGATGTGGCCACTACCTTAAGAGCGCGCATATTGGTACAAGACGCAGAGGAAAGTGGAAAACAATAAATGACGAAATGTGCAGTGTGGACACCTATGGAGCAACCTGCCCCATGGATCGTGATGATGATGGGGCATGGGCGGGTTGGGTGGGTGGGGAGGCATTGTTTATTGCTATAACGTTCCGAACCCGTGCCCCGACTGGACATCTGTAAAAAAAGAGCTTCATAGCTCATCCGACTTCTCCAGCGTAAATAAATATTCTGACTCTATGGGTGTGGGTGGGTGGCAAGGTTTGCCTCCTCTTTCCATTTGGTTGGGTTGCATTGGTCAAGAATGATTCCGCTTTACTCACAGAGGGTCAGGAAACAGCTGCTCGCGTGATATTTCACCGTTCTTTTTCACACGCGTCGTGTAACGTCACTCGGAAAAAGCCACAAAGACAAAGATTCCCCATCCCTTATAGCCTCTAACAGACTGTTGGGCCAAGTGCTGTTTGCGAATGAGCACCTATGAAACCCGGAACGGCACACGAGGGGATCGGTGGCCAGCACCACGCCCGGTCGCCTATGTCTCCACCCAGGAGCGATGTTTACTACACACCGCACCAGGTACTCATTTGAGGCTGAGTCGACCTAGGGGAGGCCCAGGACCGGCTCAGATAGTCGTCGCTGGTGTTGGTGGCCGTGAACGGGAATCGAATTCGGGTCGCCGGATTCGTAGCGTAGTGCGCTACACTACCACTCCCCAAAGCCACACACACAAAGACAAAGATCCCCCCTTTTAGCCTTTCACAGACTGTTGGGACAAGAGATACATAGAGATCCATAGAGACCCATAGATATACAGGGTGCTTAAAAAAATGTTAACACGCATATAGGACTATAATTTTTAATGGAAAAGGACGGCTGTAACATAACAAATGTATCTTCATATATCTTCATAGCTTCAAAAAGTCAGAGTCTCCGCTTGTTCACTATCATCGTCAACACATGCCTGGAATCTTCTCATTGGTAGTCTCCAGAGCCCGGAGGCACATTTCTTGTGGTGTTTTTGCAAATTCTCTGAAGCGTTAACATTTTTTTGAAGCACCATGTACATAGATACCAATGGAGGTACATACAGAACCCACAGACTGCAGAGAAGACACATATGAAACTCCAAACGTACAGCAAAAGGCATCGTCAGGGGTCCGGGATCGAACTGGCGACCTCCTGCGTACCAGGCGACGGAGACAACATAATCCCCGCCACTCCGGACGCCCCACAGTATCCCTCCGTGTGCGGGAGCCGGGGGATTTGAGAGCGAAGGAAGCCGTCAAGGAGCCGCGTCCAGGCAAGGCGAGTCCTCCATGACCCCGCTGTCGCTCGTCTCGGACGTACGACTTCTTCTGCGCCTCCCCATTCTGGCAAAGAGACGGTGGCCAGGAGATGTTATCTCCCTCGCCTGGTATGCAGGAGGTCGTCGGTTCGATCCCGACCCTGACAATGCCTGTTGTATATTTGGAGTCTGAGTGTCTCTTTGTCTCTCCCCCATGGTCGTGTGGAATTTTCTCCGGGCCCCACCACATTTAGAATCGATATGCGTTTGGAGTATTTGGCAACTGCTATAAATTTCCATGTGATGATAAGCCACTTCGTTGAGCTATCAATTTGAGCCGTCGGGGGAAAGGGAAGGGGGGCCTGCGCATAAAGAGGTGGGTCCAATAGAAGAAGGGGCGGGGTCTTAAAAGGAAAGGCGCAGATCTGAAAGAGGAAGGGGTGGGGCCTCGTCAGGAAGGGGTGGGGGCCTAAGGCGTAAGAGGGGTGGGGCATGAAGAGTAAAATGAAGGGCCAATGGAGGTTGAATTTTCCTGTTGATATAAAAGGTATATCAACAGGTAATAAAATAATCGAATTAAATATGTGCAGCAGCCAGCGTACCTGTAGTATGTTTTTGTGTTTAGTTTATTGTCCTTCCACTGCACTTCCGATTAGCACGGTCGGCTATGTACGGTGTAAAAGAAATTCAACATATTAGATGTAGTGCCGCAGATGCGGGCCACAGGCCGACTAGAATCATTACATTGCTGTTGATTTTTGCCAACACCTGGAGATGAGGACGCCGATGAGGAGGCTGACCCCGCCAACCAGCAGCCCGGCTGGCAGCGACAAGAGCAGGTAGAGGAGGCTCGCCCGGTCAGCTACAAGCACACACATCGCCAGCCAATCACTCGCTGTTCGCTCGATCGATCGCTTGCTCAGTGAACCCGGTCAAGGAGCGTAAACCATCATTGCTTGAAGCCTGGTCATCTTTGCAGCAGCGGCGGCGGCTTTTGGCTATTCGATTGAACAAAAGACGGTCACTGCATCACGCGATGCACTTCTGCGGCCGTCTGGAATGCTCTTCTTTCCAATATTAGGAAGCTACAGGCAGCTGTGCACTTTTACATCGTCTAGTTTGAAAACGAATTTTAGAACTGCTTTTTGTGTTTAGTTTATTGTCCTTCCCCCGCACACAGTGAAACCACAACACTCACTGGCAAGTGTTGTTGAGCTCCACCACGTGCTATGACGACTACAGACCAACGAATCACCGATAATAACGGGTGATACTTTCCATGCAAAATCCTGGAGAGGCTCGCTCTGTCAAAATAAACATCCGCCACAAAACAACCATTTCGAGTGAACCGCGCTCGACAGACAAGTATCTGGATTGCTGTGTCTTACATTTCTGAGGCGAGGGCAGTTTATCGAATTGGGCTTTGTCATCACCATCATCACCATCATCGTCGTCTGTGGAAATATTCATGAAAGAGATTTGTTAATTTGAGGCCTTCAGACTCAACCGGGACACGTGGCGAGCTCGCAGCAACTCCCCCCACTCCATCAGCCCCTCCCACATTTTAGACATAACCACGCCCATATTTTAAACATAGCCACGCCCAATCAACCACAAGCCCAGAATACACATACACAGCGAGAGGCCTCCCCACTCTGGGTGGGCGCCACGGTGGCTTAGAGATGATAACTACCTTGTCTAGTACACAGGAGGTCATGGGTTCGATCCCGACCCTGATGATGCCTGTTGTACATTTGAAGTTTGCTTGTCGCTCTCTCTCATCATCATCACGGTGGCTAGGAAATGTTAACTACCTCGTCGAGTACAGGTCATGCGTTCGATCCCCACCCTGACGATGCCTGTTGTATATTTGGAGTTTGCGGTGTCTCTCTCTCCCCAGTGGTCGCGTGGACTTTTCTCCGGGTCCTTCGGTTTTTCTCTCCGCATTTAGAATCAACGTCACGTGTCATAGGGTACTGGTCTGCTGTAAATTCCAAACGATGATAAGCCACTTCGTTGAGCTATCATTGTGGCCAGGTCACTTCTGAAAAATAGCAAAACAATTCTCAAGCGGGCCTTGCATGGTAAAATATAAATAGTTGTAGTGATTTATAACACTGGTCTCACTTACAGCAAAGAGGTCCCACCCACTACCCAGGTAGCCCCTCCCACTACTCAAGTAGCCACCCCTGACTACCAAGGTACCCCCCCCCCCCCATTACCCAGGTAGCCCCTCTCACCATGCAGCTCGCCTCTTCCACCACCCAGGAAGCTCCATCCACCCAGGTAGCCCCGCCCACTACCCAGGTAGTCCTCCCACCATCCAGGGAGCCCCTGCCACTCCCCAGGAAGCTCCTCCCACCGCCCAGGTAGCCCCTCCTACTACCCAGGTAGCCCCTCCCACCACACAGGTAGCCCCTCCCACTACCCGGTAGCCTCTCCCACAATCCAGGTAGCACCGCCCACCCCTCAGATGGCCCCTCCAACGACTGAAAAGGCCCAGCCCCACTACTCAGACAGCTCTGACCTTTGCCCGTATCTTGAGTTGAGCATTAAACCAGAACATTTTCATCTGGGATTTCCCCCCCTAATTTTCACAAATGCTTTGGGACAGCTGTGGGAACAGCCTTTCCTAAACCACCGTGAACGTCTTGGCCAAACAAGGCTGGTTGGTAGCTTTACCTCAATATTACACGAACCCTAGCCGATCACTCACCCACACAGGAGGCCTGATCACGCGTGGGCTGGAAGGGCTGCTTGCCGGATGAGAGCCTGAACCCCGGTTCACAGTAGCAGTGGAAGGAGCCTGGAACATTCTCACAGCGACTGCCCTCCCCACACGTAGCCTGGCTCTCCAGGCACTCGTCAACGTCTGCGTCACAAACAGAGACTCCAGTATTCAAAGAAAAAAGAAAAATCCTGCACGTATTTTTTCTTAATGGGGCACATCATTTAAACGTTCGGTTGTGTCCCATCCATCCATTGCTCCCATCTGAAGCACTTTCAGTCGGTGGACGCACGTACAACAGCGCACGTGTCAATGCAACGCTACACATACACAGCATTGTACCCTTCTATAGACTTCCGTTGTAGTTCAGAACTACGACATTTTATTGGTACATTGATGCACCGAGCAGCATAGCTCACGCCAGGTGAGGTGGACCCAGGTGTGGTAGAGCTTACAGTGTAGGTGTCACACTACACTGCTGTTGTGCCTGTGTGTGCCTCACTCACCCACACAGGAGGCCTGGTCATGCGTGGGCTGGAAGGGCTGCTTCCCGGATGAGGGCCTGAACCCCGGTTCACAGTAGCAGTGGAAGGAGCCTGGAACGTTCTCACAGCGACCGCCCTCCCCACACGGAGCGCGGCTCTCCTGGCACTCGTCAACGTCTGAGCCACAAACATCTCAATCAGAACTACAACATCTCATTGATTTACCTAGCAACACAGCTCAAGCCAAGTATGGATGTATCTTGAACGTCTTTTGCACCATACGAGCCAACCGTGCGAATCGGAGGTGTGGGGGTAGGACAACAAAGTAAACATTCTAAATAAGTGAATTTTCAATATCGAAATGAAGATTTTTCTCCGGGTCCTCCTGTTTTTCCCTACACATTTAAAAACACGTGTTTAGAGTATTTGGCCGCTGTAAATTCCCACACGATGATAAAGCCACTTCGTTGACCTATCATTTGTGGTCAGGTCGCTAATGAAAAATTAGCAAAAAATCTCAGTGGGCCTTGCCTGGTAAAATAAAAAAGTCGTTATCTATAACGACGGTCAATCTTACAGCAAATAGGCCCCACCTACTACCCAGGTAGCCCCTCCCACAACCCGGGTAGCCCCTCCCACTACCGGGTAGCCCTCTCCCCCCATTACCCAGGTCGCCCCCCACTACCCAAGTAGTCCCTCCCCACCACCCAGGTAGCCCCTCCCACCACCCAGGAAGCCCTTCCCACCACCCAGGTAGTCTCTCCAACTACCCAGGAAGACCCTTCTACCACCGAGGTAGCCTCTGCCACCACCCAGGTAGTGCCTCCCACCACTTAGGTAGCCCCTTAAACTAACCGGGTAGCCCCTCTCACAAAGCAGGTAGTACCGCCCAGTCCTCAGATGGCCCCTCCCACGACTCAGATGTTCCAGCCCCGCGACTCAGACAGCTCTGATCTTTGCCCGTATCTTGAGTTGAGCATTAAGCCAGAACATTTTCAACTGGGATTGTCGCCCCCTAATTTTCACAAATGCTTTGGGACAGCTGTGGGAACAGCCTTTCCTAAACCACCTTGAACGTCTTGGCCAAACAAGGCTAGTTGGTAGCTTTACCTCAATATAACACGAACCCTCGCCGATCACTCACCCAGACAGGAGGCCTGGTCACGCATGGGCTGGAAGGGCTGCTTCAAGGATGAGAGCCTGAACCCCGGTTCACAGTAGCAGTGGAAGGTGCCTGGAACGTTCTCACAGCGACCGCCCTCCCCACACGGAGCGCGGCTCTCCTGGCACTCGTCAACGTCTGAGCCACAAACATCTCAATCAGAACTACAACATCTCATTCATTTACCTATCAACATAGCGCAAGCCAAGTATGCATGTATCTTGAACTTCTTTTGCACCATACGAGCCAACCGTGCGAATCGGAGGTGTGGGGGTAGGACAACAAAGTAAACACGAATACAAAGCGATTCTAAGGAAGTTAATTTCCAATCTAGATTTAAAACTGCATTGCTCCTGTGGCTTCCTAAAATCTAAATGAAGATTTTTCTACGGGTCCTCCTGTTTTTCCCTACACATTTAGAAACACGTGTTTAGAGTATTTGGCCGCTGTAAATTCCCACACGATGATAAAGCCACTTCGTTGAGCTATCATTTGTGGCCAGGTCGCTTATGAAAAATTAGCAAAACAATCTCAGTGGGCCTTGCCTGGTAAAATAAAAAAGTCGTTATCTATAACGACGGTCCCTCTTACAGCAAATAGGCCCCAACTACTACCCAGATAGCCCCTCCCACTACCGGGTAGCCCCCGACTATCCAGGTAGCCCCTCCCACTACCCAGGTAGTTACCCCTCACCACCCAGGTAGCCCCCCCAACCACCGGGTTAGCCCCTCACATCGCCCAGGTAGCCCCTCCCACTACCCAGGTAGCCCCTCCTACTACCCAGGAAGACCCTCCTACTACCCAGGTAGACCCCCCTACCACCGAGGTAGCCTCTGTCACCACCCAGGTAGCGCCTCCCACCACCCAGGTAGCCCTTCCCACTAACCGGGTAGCCCATCTCACAAACCGCCCACTCCAAAGATGGCCCATCCCACGACTCAAGTGTTCCAGCCCCGCTAATCAGACATATCTGACTCTTGCTCGTATCGTGAGTTGAGCATTAAACCAGAACATTTTCACCTGGGATCTCCCCCCCTAATTTTCACAAATGCTTTGGGACAGCTGTGGGAACAGCCTTTCCTAAACCACCATGAACGTCTTGGCCAAACAAGGCTGGTTGGTAGCTTTACCTCAATATTCCACGAACCCTAGCCGATCACTCACCCACACAGGAGGCCTGATCACGCGTGGGCTGGAAGGGCTGCTTGCCAGATGAGAGCCTGAACCCCGGTTCACAGTAGCAGTGGAAGGAGCCTGGAACATTCTCACAGCGACTGCCCTCCGCACACGTAGCCTGGCTCTCCAGGCACTCGTCAACGTCTGCGTCACAAACAGAGACTCCAGTATTCAAAGAAAAAAGAAAAATCCTGCACGTATTTTTTCTTAATGGGGCACATCATTTAAACGTTCGGTTGCGTCCCATCCATCCATTGCTCCAATCTGAAGCACTTTCAGTCGGTGGACGCACATACAACAGCGCACCTCTCAATGCAACGCTACACATACACAGCATTGTACCCTTCAATAGACTTCCGTTGTAGTTCAGAACTACAACATTTTATTGGTACATTGATGCACCGAGCAGCATAGCTCACGCCAGGTGAGGTGGACCCAGGTGTGGTAGAGCTTACAGTGTAGGTGTCACACTACGCTGCTGTTGTGCCTGTGTGTGCCTCACTCACCCACACAGGAGGCCTGGTCACGCGTAGGCTGGAAGGGCTGCTTCCCGGATGAGAGCCTGAACCCCGGTTCACAGTAGCAGTGGAAGGAGCCTGGAACGTTCTCACAGCGACCGCCCTCCCCACACGGAGCGCGGCTCTCCTGGCACTCGTCAACGTCTGAGCCACAAACATCTCAATCAGAACTACAACATCTCATTGATGTACCTAGCAACACAGCTCAAGCCAAGTATGCATGTATCTTTAACGTCTTTTGCACCATACGAACCAACCGTGCGAATCGGAGGTGTGGGAGTAGGACAACAAAGTAAACACGAATACAAAGCCATTCTAAATAAGTGAATATTCAATATCGAAATGAAGATTTTTCTCCGGGTCCTCCTGTTATTCCCTACACATTTAAAAACGTGTTTAGAGTATTTGGCCGCTGTAAATTCTCACACGATGATAAAGCCACTTCGGTGAGCTATCATTTGTGGTCAGGTCGCTAATGAAAAATTAGCAAAACAATCTCAGTGAGCCTTGCCTGGCAAAATAAAAAAAAGTCGTTATCTATAACGATGGTCCCTCTTACAGCAAATAGGCCCCACCTACTACCCAGTTAGCCCCTCCCACAACCCGGGTAGCCCCTCCCACTACAGGGTAGCCCTCCCCCCCCATTACCCAGGTCGCGCCCCACTACCCAGGTAGTCCCTCCCCACCACCCAGGAAGCCCTTCCCACCACCCAGGTAGCCCCTCCTACTACCCAGGAAGACCCTCCTACCACCGAGGTAGCCTCTGCCACCACCCAGGTAGTCCCTCCCACCACCCCAGGTAGCCCCTCCTACTAACTGGGTTGCCCCTCTCACAAACAAGGTAGAACCGCCCACTCCTCAGATGGCGCCTCCCACGACTCAGATGTCCCAGCCCCGCTACTCAGACAGCTCTGAACTTTGCCCGTATCTTGAATTGAGCATTAAGCCAGAACATTTTCCACTGGGAAAACAAATCCTAACTTTAACAAATTATTTGGGACAGTGGCGGGAACAGCCTTTCCTAAACCACTGTGAACGTATTGGCCAAACAAGGCTGGTTAGTAGCTTTACTTCAATATGACACGAAGCCTAGCCGATCAATCACCCAGACAGTACGCCTGGTCATGCGTGGGCTTGAAGGGCTGCTTGCCAGACGAGAGCCTGATCCCCGGTTCACAGTAGCAGTGGAAGGTGCCTGGAACGTTCTCACAGCGACCACCCCCCCCACAAGTAGCTTGGCTCTCCTGGCACTCGTCAACGTCTGAGCTGCAAATATCTCAATTAGAACTCTAACATCTCATTGATTCACCTAGCAACATAGCTCAAGCCAAGTATGCATGCATGTTGAACTCTTTTAGCACCGTTCGTAGCCAACCATGCTAATCGTAGGTGCGGGGGTCGGACAACAAGGAAAATACGAAAAGTCGTTCTAAAGAAGTGAATTTTCAACCTATATTTAAAAGTGCATAGCTCCTGTCGCTTCCTAACATCGAATGGAAGATTTTTCTCTGGGTCCTCCGGTTTTTCTCTCCACATTTAGAATCAACGTCACGTGTTTTAGAGTATTTGGCTGCTGTAAATTTCCACACGATGACAAAGCCACTTCGTTGAGCCATCATTTGTGGCCCGGTCACTTCTCAAAAAATAGCAAAAAAATCTCAGCGGGCCTTACCTGGTAAAATAAAAATGGTTGTTATTTATAACGCTAGCCCCTCTTACATCTATTAGGCCCCACCTACTACCCAGGTCGCCCCTCTCACCACCCAGTTATCCCTTTGCACCTCCCACGTAGCCCCTCCCACTACCCAGGAAGCCCCTCCCACTACACAGGTTGACCCTGCTACTACCCAGGTAGCTTCTCCGACCACCGGGGTAGCCTCTGCCACCACCCAGGTAGCTCCTCCCACCACCCAGGTAGCCCCTCCTACTAACTGGATAGCCCCTCTCACAAACCAGGTAGTACCGCCCACTCCTCAGATGGCCCCTCCCACGACTCAGATGTTCCAGCCCCGCTACTCAGACAGCTCTGAACTTTGCCCGTATTTTGAGTTAAGCATCAAGCCAGAACATTTTTCACTGGGAAAACTAATCCTAATTTTAACAAATGCTTTGGGACAGTGGCAGGAACAGCTTTTCCTAAATCACTGTGAACGTCTTGGCCAAGAAAGGCTGGTTGGTAGCTTTACTTCAATATGACACGAAGCTTAGCTGATCACTCGCCCAGACAGGAGGTGTGGTCACGCGTGGGCTGGAAGGGCTGCTTGCTGGACGAGAGCCAGAACCCCGGTTCACAGTAGCAGTGGAAGGAGCCTGGAACGTTCTCACAGTGACCGCCCTCCCCACACAGAGCCTGAGTCTCTCCTGGCACTCGTCAACGTCTGAGTCACAAACATCTGAATCAGACCTACAACATCTCATTGGTACATTGATGCACCGAGCAGCATGGCTCACGCCAGGTGAGGTGGATCCAGGTGTGGTAGACGTTACAATGTAGGTGTCACACTACGCTGCTGTTGTCCCCGTGTGTCCATCCCTCACCCAGACAGGAGGCCTGGTCACGCGTGGGCTGGAAGGGCTGCTTTCCGGACGACAGCCTGAACCCCGGTTCACAGTAGCAGTGGAAGGAGCCTGGAACGTTCTCACAGCGACCGCCCTCCCCACACGGAGCCTGGCTCTCTTGGCACTCGTCAACATCTGCGTCACAAACATAGACTCCAGCTTTCAAAGAGAATAAAAATCCTGCACGCATTTTTTCTTGATGGGCCACGTCATTTAAACGTTCGCTTGTGTCCCATCCAGCCATTGCTCCCATCTGAAGCACTTTCAGTCTGTGCACGCACCTACAACAGCGCATGTGTCAATGCCATGCTGCACATCTACAGCATTTCCACAGACTTCCGTTGGAGTTCAGAAGGAAGGGGTAGTGATACAAATCTTTGTTCAGCCCAGTCCAGACCAACATCTGATGGAGAACGCAGTTTATATCAGCTGATGATAACGCTTATGCTCGTGATGCCATAACTCACCCAGACAGGAGGCCTGGTCGCGCGTGGGCTGGAAGGGCTGCTTGCCCGACGAGAGCCTGAACCCCGGTTCACAGTAGCAGTGGAAAGAGCCTGGAACGTTCTGACAGCGACCGCCCTCCCCACACGGAGCGCGGCTCTCCTGGCACTCGTCAACATCTGAGCCACAAACATCTGAATCAGAACTACAACATCTCATAGCTCAAACCAAGTACGTATGCATGTTGAACTTCTTTTGCACCATACGCAGCCAACCGTGCTAATCAGACTTGCTGGAAGGACAACAAACGAAACACATCGAGCAGTTCTGAATAAATGAGCTTTCACTGTCGATTATTTAAAAGTGCATAGCTCCAGTGGCTTCCTAATATCGGAAGGAAGAGCGTTCCAGACGTCCACAGAAGCGCTATTGAATTAGAACTACAACATCTCATTGATACATCGAGCAACAGAGCTCAAGCTCAGTGAGGTTAACCCAGGTGTGGTAGACGTCACAGTGTCGTGTCACGTTACGTTGCTGCTGCTGCTGCTGTTTTCCCGTGTGTCCTTCACTCACCCAAACAGGAGGCCTGGTCACGCATGGGCTGGAAGGGCTGCTTGCCGGACGAGAGCCTGAACCCCGGTTCACAGTAGCAGTGGAAGGAGCCTGGAACGTTCTCACAGCGACCGCCCCCACCACAAGTAGCTTGGTTCTCCTGGCACTCGTCAACGTCTGAGCCGCAAATATCTCAATTAGAACTACAACATCTCATTGATTCACCTAGCAACATAGCTCAAGCCAAGTATGCATGTATGTTGAACTCTTTTAGCACCGTACGTAGCCAACCGTGCTCATCGTAGGTGCGGTGGTCGGACAACAAGGAAAACATGAAGAGGCGTTCGAAAGAAGTGAATTTTCATTCTAGATTTAAAAGTGCATAGCTCCTGTCGCTTCCTAACATCGAAAGGAAGATTTTTCTCCGGGTCCTCCGGTTTTTCTCTCCACATTTAGAATCAACGTCACGTGTTTTAGAGTATTTGGCTGCTGTAAATTTCCACGTGATGATAAGCCACTTCGTTGAGCCATCATTTGTGCCCAGGTCGCTTCTGAAAAATAGCAATAAAATCTCCGCGGTCCTGACCTGGCAAAATAAAAATAGTATTCTTGGTTCTTTCGGTAAAGTCACGTAAAACCAAGAATATGAATTCCTGCAGTCACGAAAGTTTTAAGAAAAAAATTAGTTATTCATAACACTAGCCCCTCTTACAGCTAATAGGCCCCACCTACTACTGAGGTAGCCCCCCCCCCACTATCCAGGTAGCCCCTCCCACTACCCAGGTAGTCTCCCCATACCACCCAGGTAGCCTCTCCCACCACCCAGGTAGCCCCTCTCACCACCCAGGTAGCCCCTCTCACCACTCAGCTAGCCCCTCCCACCACCCAGGTAGCCCATCCCACTAAAGGGGTAGCCCCTCCCACCCCTCAGAAGTCCCAGCCCCACTTCTCAGACAGTACTCATTTTTGCCCGTAACTTGAGTTGACCATTAAGCCAGAACATTTTCCCCTGGGGGAAAAAAAAAGTCAAATGTTTCACAAATGGTTTGGGACAGCGGTCGGAACAGTCTTTCGTAAAGCACTTTGAATGTATTCGCCAAACAAGGCTGGTTGGTAGATTTATCTCAATATGACACGAAGCCTAGCCGATCACTCACCCACACAGGAGGCCTGGTCACGCGAAGGCTGGAAGGGCTGCTTGCCGGTTGAAAGCCTGAACCCCGGTTCGCAGTAGCAGTGGACGGAGCCTGGAACGTTCTCACAGCGACCGCCCTCCCCACACGGAGCCTGACTCTCCTGACACTCGTCAACGTCTGAGCCACAAACATCTGAATCAGAATTCCAACATCTCATTGGTACATTGATGCACCAAGCAGCATGGCTCATGCCAGGTGAGGTGGACCCAGGTGTGGTAGACGTTACAGTGTGGTTGTCACACTATGCTGCTGTTGTGTCTGTGTAACCCTCACTCACCCACACAGGAGGCCTGGTCACGCGTGGGCTGGAAGGGCTGCTTTCCGGACGACAGCCTGAACCCCGGTTCACAGTAGCAGTGGAAGGAGCCTGGGACGTTCTCACAGCGACCGCCCTCCCCACACGGAGCCTGGCTCTCCTGGCACTCGTCAACATCTGCGTCACAAACATAGACTCCAGCTTTCAAAGAGAAAAAAAAATCCTGCACGTATTTTTTCTTAATGGGCCACGTCATTTAAACGTTCGCTTGTGTCCCATCCAGCCATTGCTCCCATCTGAAGCACTTTCAGTCTGTGCACGCACCTACAACAGCGCATGTGTCAATGCCACGCTACACATACACAGCATTTCCACAGACTTCCGTTGGAGTTCAGAAGGAAGGAGTAGTGATGCAAATCTTTGCTCAGCCCAGTCCAGACCAACATCTGATGGGGAACGCAGTTTATATCAGCTGATGAGAACGCGTATGCTCGTGATGCCATCACTCACCCAGACAGGAGGCCTGGTCGCGCGTGGGCTGGAAGGGCTGCTTGCCCGACGAGAGCCTGAACCCCGGTTCACAGTAGCAGTGGAAAGAGCCTGGAACGTTCTGACAGCGACCGCCCTCTCCACACGGAGCGCGGCTCTCCTGGCACTCGTCAACATCTGAGCCACAAACATCTGAATCAGAACTACAACATCTCATAGCTCAAACCAAGTACGTATGCATGTTGAACTTCTTTTGCACCATACGCAGCCAACCGTGCTAATCAGACTTGCTGGAAGGACAACAAACGAAACACATCGAGCAGTTCTGAATAAATGAGCTTTCACTGTCGATTATTTAAAAGCGCATAGCTCCAGTGGCTTCCTAATATCGGAAGGAAGAGCGTTCCAGACGTCCGCAGAAGCGCTATTGAATTAGAACTACAACATCTCATTGATACATCGAGCAACAGAGCTCAAGCTCAGTGAGGTTAACCCAGGTGTGGTAGACGTCACAGTGTCGTGTCACGTTACGTTGCTGCTGCTGCTGTTTTCCCGTGTGTCCTTCACTCACCCAAACAGGAGGCCTGGTCACGCATGGGCTGGAAGGGCTGCTTGCCGGACGAGAGCCTGAACCCCGGTTCACAGTAGCAGTGGAAGGAGCCTGGAACGTTCTCACAGCGACCGCCCCCACCACAAGTAGCTTGGCTCTCCTGGCACTCGTCAACGTCTGAGCCGCAAATATCTCAATTAGAACTACAACATCTCATTGATTCACCTAGCAACATAGCTCAAGCCAAGTATGCATGTATGTTGAACTCTTTTAGCACCGTACATAGCCAACCGTGCACATCGTAGGTGCGGTGGTCGGACAACAAGGAAAACACGAAAAGTCGTTCTAAAGAAGTGAAATTTTCATTCTAGATTTAAAAGTGCATAGCTCCTGTCGCTTCCTAACATCCAAAGGAAGATTTTTCTCCGGGTGCTCCGGTTTTTCTCTCCACATTTAGAATCAACGTCACGTGTCATAGAGTATTTGGCTGCTGTAAATTTCCACGTGATGATAAGCCACTTCGTTGAGTCATCATTTGTGCCCAGGTTGCTTCTGAAAAATAGCAATAAAATCTCTGAGGTCCTGAGCTGGCAAAATAAAAATAGTATTCTTGGTTCTTTCGGTAAAGTCACGTAGAACCAAGAACCAAGAATATGAATTCCTGCAGTCACGAAAGTTTTAAGTAAAAAAATAATTAGTTACTCATAACACTAGCCCCTGTTACAGCTAATAGGCCCCACCTACTACTGAGGTAGCCCCCCACCACCCCACTATCCAGGTAGCCCCTCCCACTACCCAGGTAGTCTCCCCCTACCACCCAGGTAGCCTCACCCACCACCCAGCTAGCCCCTCTCACCACCCAGGTAGCCCCTCTCACCACGCAGCTAGCCCCTCCCACCCCCCAGGTAGCCCCTCTCACCACGCAGCTAGCCCCTCTCACCACGCAGCTAGCCCCTCCCACCACCCAGGTAGCCCGTCCCACATACCGGGTAGCCCCTCCCACCCCTCAGAAGTCTCAGCCCCACTTCTCAGACAGTACTCAATTTTGCCCGTAACTTGAGTTGACCATTAAGCCAGAACATTTTCCCCCGGCGGGACCAAAAAAAATCCAATTTTTCACAAATGGTTTGGGACAGCGGTGGGAACAGCCTTTCTTTCGTAAAGCACTTTGAATGTATTGGCCAAACAAGGCTGGTTGGTAGATTTATCTCAATATGACACGAAGCCTAGCCGATCACTCACCCACACAGGAGGCCTGGTCACGCGTGGGCTGGAAGGGCTGCTTGCCGGATGAGAGCCTGAACCCCGGTTCGCAGTAGCAGTGGACGGAGCCTGGAACGTTCTCACAGCGACCGCCCTCCCCACACGGAGCCTGACTCTCCTGACACTCGTCAACGTCTGAGTCACAAACATCTGAATCAGAACTACAACATCTCATTGGTACATTGATGCACCGAGCAGCATGGCTCACGCCAGGTGAGGTGGACCCAGGTGTGGTAGACGTCACAGTGTCGTGTCACGTTACGTTGCTGCTGCTGTTTTCTCCGTGTGTACTTCACTCACCCACACAGGAGGCCTGGTCACGCGTGGGCTGGAAGGGCTGCTTTCCGGACGACAGCCTGAATCCCGGTTCACAGTAGCAGTGGAAGGAGCCTGGGACGTTCTCACAGCGACCACCCTTCCCACACGGAGCCTGGCTCTCCTGGCACTCGTCAATATCTGCGTTACAAACAGAGACTCCAGCTTTCAAAGAGAAGACAAATTCTGCATATATCTTTTTTTAAATGGGGCACATTATTTAAACGTTCGCTTATGTCCCAATCCATCCATCCATTGCTCCCATCTGAAGCACTTTCAGTCTCTGCACGCACCTACAACAGCGCACGTGTCAATGCAACGCTACACAGCATTGTACCCTTCTACAGACGTCCATTTAAGTTCAGAAGGAAGGGGTAGAGATGGAAATCTTTGTTCAGTCCAGTCCAGACCAACATCGATGGAGACCGCAGTTTATGTCAGCTGATGATGACAATGATGACGCTTATGGTCGTGATGCCATCACTCACCCAGACAGGAGGCCTGGTCGTGCGTGGGCTGGAAGGGCTGCTTTCCGGATGAAACCCTGAACCCCGGCTGACAGTAGCAGTGGAAGGTGCCTGGAACGTTCTGACAGCGACCGCCCTCCCCACACGGAGCACGGCTCTCCTGGCACTCATCAACGTCTGAGCCACAAACATCTAAATCAGAACTACAACATCTCATTGGTACATTGATACACTGAGCAACATGGCTTTCGCCAAGTACGTATGTATGTTAAACTTTTATCGCATCGTACGTAGCCAACCGCGCGAATGGAGGTGTGGGGAAGTACAACAAACTAAACCCAAATAGCAGTTTAAAATAAATACGTTTTCAATCTAGATGATGATTCAAAAGTGCATAGCTCCAGTGGCTTCTTAATATCGGAAGGAAGAGCGTTCCAGACGGCCACAGGAGTGCATCTGAAAACGCGTGATGCCGGTGACCATCTTTACTCTTTGGTTCTTTTGGCAAAGTCACGTAGGTATAAAATAAAATGAATTAAATTAAATCACGACGTTTCGTGTGCAACACAAGTGCCCGTCATCAGGTGGAATAACCACAGCAAGAAACAATTGCTGAAGTGGGCAAGAGGAGGCTGCTTGTAACAAGAGGCTATATAAGTAAGAGAGGGTGGGGGTGTGGGGTAGGGGAAGTGCAAGCTCCAACACGAGTACGACAAAATGTCGGGGCTGGGAAGTGTGCGGAGCTAGGGGGTAGGAGGCTGAAGAAACTGGAGATGCGGATATGAAGGCAACAACTATAAAGCAGTTAAGGTTTTACCTGGTTAATAACATCCTTCCAATGATTGCTCAATTTGTATCCATCATCTCGGTTGAAGTTATGCCTATGTTTATATCATTACCATCTTTGTTCGTTGTCCAGCCAATTGCCGCCTCTGTGAGGATTACCGGATTTAACACGATGGTGGTTTATGCTCCTTGGCAAGATCAGCAAGGTATTGTGGTTCATTTGTGCCAAGCGCTCTGTGCGTAATGAGAGCGACCTAATATTTTCGTTCGGCAACCGGAAGCCAATGCACCTCGGTGAGCACCAGACGGACGTGGCCGGATCTTGCAGTACCCGCCACAACACGTAGCAGCTAATGCTGTGATGATGCTGATGTTCGTGATGCCATCACTCACCCAGACAGGAGGCCTGGTCGCGCGTGGGCTGGAAGGGCTGCTTGCCGGACGACAGCCTGAACCCCGGTTCGCAGTAGCAGTGGACGGAGCCTGGAATGTTCTCACAGCGACCGCCCTCCCCACACGGAGCCTGACTCTCCTGACACTCGTCAACGTCTGAGCCACAAACATCTGAATCAGAACTACAACATCTCATTGGTGCATTGATGCACGGAGCAGCATGGCTGACGCCAGGTGAGGTGGACCCAGGTGTGGTAGACGTTACAATGTAGGTGTCACACTACTCTGCTGTTGTCCCCGTGTGTCCCTCACTCACCCACACAGGAGGCCTGGTCACGCGTGGGCTGGAAGGGCTGCTTGCCGGACGACACCCTGAACCCCGGTTCACAGTAGCAGTGGATGGTGCCTGGCGCGTTCTCACAGCGACCGCCCTCGCCGCACGGAGCGCGGCTCGCCAGACAATTGTCGACGTCTGTCGCAAAAGCAGAGGCGACCGGCTTTGAGAGGCGCGCGCATGGAGACAAAAGGTTCCCCTCGGTGTAGCCTCAACGGAGCGTCGGGGGCAAGCGCCATCGGCGAGGAGCGGCACCGTGGCACGCACGAGGGGGGTGGGGTGGCCAGCACTACGCTCGGCCGCCTTTGAATCCCTAGACGCGATGTTTACTACACGCACCTCAGCGATGTACTCATTTCAAAGGCTGAGTCGACCAAAGGGGAGGCCCCAAATCGGTTCAGATAATCGTCGCTTATTTCCCCTCCCCCCCCCCCCCCCGTGGGATGGACACCATGGTGAGATGAACACCATGAGATGGACATCACGGTGAGATGGACACCACCGTGGGATGGACACCACCGTGAGATGGACACCACCGTGAGATGGACATCACGGTGAGATGGACACCACGGTGAGATGGACACCACGGTGAGATGGACACCACGGTGAGATGGACACCACCGTGGGATGGACACCACGCTGAGATGGACACCACGATGAGATGGACACCACCGTGGGATGGACACCACCATTGGATGGACACCACGGTGAGATGGACACCACCGTGGGATGGACACCACCGTGAGATGGACACCACCGCGAGATGGACACCACCGTCAGATGGATACCGTTGCTGTTTTTCTGGAGCCAGATGGAGGAATTGGCTGTCCGGTCTACGAGGCCGCCCGGGACACCTCCTGAGTTACCTGTTGCTTGATTGTGGTTCGGTTCTGGTTCTTCTCCCCCACCTCTCCCCACCCCCGTGCCCCCCCCCATGACCCCCCCCACCTTACCCCCCTCCCCCCCCCGCAGAAACACACCTTTGAGCGCGGCCAGGATCGGAGTCTCGTCCGTGTGGTAGTCGTCTTCGTCGTAAATATCCTGGGCGCCGCACCCTTGGCAGACTGGGGGCGCAGGGGGGGGGGGGATGGGTTAACAAAGTGGGAAGGGAAGGTAACGGGTTAACAGAGTGGGAGTGAAAGAGTTTATAGGGGTAAGAGTGAAGGTAACGGGTTAACAGAGTGGGAGCGAATGGGTTAATAGGGGTGGGAGTGGAGGTAACGGGTTAACAGAGTGGGAGTGAAGGAGTTTATAGGGGTAGGAGTGGAAGGGAACGAGTTAAGGGTGAGGAAGTAGGGGAGGGGTCGCAGGTCCGGACCACACTACAGGGTGACCCAACAGTCTGAACACTGTGGAATCAGACATTTTCATTGCTTATTTTTCAGTTACTTATTGAGAAAAAAAACTACTTTTCTTACTCGGATCGATTTTATTTACTCCTGTGGGGTGGGGTGGGAGGGTCACCACCTCGAAGCCGCTTGACCAAGAACCCCGAAGGACGGATTGAGAAGTCTGGTTGATGAATGTCCGATCGGTTCACTCCGCCAATGACAACAATCACGATTCGCTCTTATTCCACCATGCTTCTCGATGACGTCGGCATTCCCAGACGAGTCATTGTTATTGTCATCTCTATACTGTATTTCGCCGAGGTTGCACCGAGGGGGCGTCCATAAATGACGTCACGCGATTTTGGACAACTTTTGACCCCCCTCCCCCCTTCGTCACACGTCGTCACAAAAAGTCAGACCCCCCCCCCTCAAATATGACATAACAAAGCTCTGCCCCCACCCCCCAAAAAATATAAAACACGCTTCAAATCGCTTTAGACTTGTCATTATAGTGCGTATTTAATGTGCCGCTGCACTCTGATGTTGTAGGAGAAAATATTTATTAAAAAGTCTATTTAGTTAAGTAGAACGTGTTGTCCATATTTATTTAAAGTTGCGCATTTTGATGTGACGTCACATTTCTCCCCCCCCCCTCCTCGTCACACATCGTCACAAATGTCTGACCCCCCCCCCCAGGTGCGTGACGTCATTTATGGACGTCCCCCTACACCTGTGAGTGTGGTTTTTACGTTTTGATTACAGCACTCCGAGATACTGCAACACGTGAAGGGAGCTTTATAAATGAGAGGTTATCATTATTGTTGTTGCTATCAAAGATTACGATTAGCACGGTCGGCCACGTACCGTGCGAAAGAAGTTCAACATACATACTGCCCATAGACTAACACTGCCCATAGACTCAACACTGCCCATAGACTAACACTGCCCATAGACTAACACTGCCCATAGACTAACACTGCCCATAGACTAACACTGCCCATAGACTCAACACTGCCATTAGACTAACACTGCCCATAGACTCAATACTGCCCATAGACTAACAATGCCTATAGACTCAACACTTCCCATAGATTCAACACTGCCCATAGACTCAACACTGCCCATAGACTCAACACTGCCCATAGACTCAACACTGCCCATAGACTCAACACTGCCCATAGACTCAACACTGTCCATAGACTAACACTGCCCATAGACTCAACACTGCCCATAGACTCAACACTGCCCATAGACTCAACACTGTCCATAGACTCAACCCTGCCCATAGACTCAATGCTGCACCTACAATTAGCACGGTTGGCTACGCACGGTGCGAAAGAAGTCCAACATACGTACATATATGCATACATATATTAATGTTCATTGAAGTCAATTTGAACATTTGTTCAAATAAATGAAATAACCCTCTGCGATTCGTTCAACTAAATATAATAATCCCGTGTGTCCTGACTTTTGGGCCACCCTGTATTACAGCACTAAACAACAGGGATGTTGAACTTATTTCGAATCGTGCATAGCGAACCGTGCTAATTGGAGATGCTGAGCGAAGGACAACAAACTAAAGACGAAAATAAGTTTCAAATAAATTAGTTTGTCAATCTAGATGATGATTTACAAGTGCACAGCTCCCAGTGGCTTCCTAATATCGGAAGGGAAGAGCGTTCCAGACGGCCACAGAAGCGCATCTGAAAGCGCCGCGCGATGCCGGTGACAATCACCGTGGTCCGACGGTTTAGCCAAAAGCTGCCGCTAGCGAAGATGAAGACCGGAGTTCGCGTGACGGTGATTTATGCTTATTTTGTCGAGATCCCCAGCAAGGTAAGTATGTGGTTCACTCGTGGCAAGCTCTATCTCACCTGCCAGCAGCAACAGCAGCAGAGCTGCAAGGTGTGCCATCGGAGCCCGAGCCTGCGGAGTTCTCTTTAAGTGGTCCTGAAGGTCTCCTCCTCTGTAGATGTCCTCTCAATAAGTCTGTCTCCGAGCTGAAGGTGTGGACCAGGAGTGTAGATTTCCACCAGCCGTGTAAAAATGGCCTCCTAGCGAGGCCGATGTTCTCCTCCGGGCGATCCTTAAACTCGTCTCTGTGGCCCTCGAAGATTTTGAAAGTCTCTTCACTGTGATGTTGAAGGTCTCTTCACTGTGATGTTGAAGGTCCCCTCACTATGATATCGAATGTCCCCTCACTATGATGTTGAATATCTGCTCGCTATGATATTGAAGGTCTCCTCACTATGATATTGAAGGTCTACTTACTATTATGTTGAAGATCCCCTCACTATGATATCGAATGTCTCCTCACTATTATGTTAAAGGCCTTCTCACTATGATATTGAAGGTCCCTTCATTATGCTATCGAATGTCTTCTCGCTATGATGTTGAATGTCTTCTCGCTATGATGCTGACGGTCCCCTCACTATTATGTTGAAGATATCCTCACTATGATGTTGAAGGTCTCACTGTGATGTTGAAGGTGTTCTCACTATGTTGAAGGTATCTGAAAGACGTCCAGAATATCCTCCTCCCTCCTACCATGAAGGTCCCCTCACTACGATGTTGAAGATCCCCTCGTTATGATTTTGAAGGTCTCCTTGGCTACGGCCCTGCATGGGAGCTGCCTACCAGAGGTTCCCGAATAGCCTCCTTTACAATAACTATTGAAGGTCTCCTTCTCTTCCACCCCGAGGTCTCTCTACGGTCTGGGCTTCTCCTCCCGTGTCTCTCTCTCTCTCTGGTCCTGAGTCACGCGTTGCTGCTCGGGTTTGTGTGTGTGTCCGTCCCCTTTCCCACGAGTTTTGCAACATTCAAAACATGTACCGGGCAGTGGGTTTTGGAGAAGTGGCGGGTTGTTGCCAGGGAGACGTGTGTGGTGGTGTGTGTGTCTGTGATTCCCGCTCACGGTCAAAACCCGTGACAATTATCTGAACCGGTCCTGGCCCTCTCCTAGGCCGACTCAGCCTCAAATCAGTACCTGGTGCGGTGTGCAGTAAACATCGCCACTGGGGAAACAAAGGCGGCCTGGAATCCCTTGGTGCTGGACAGCTTCACCACCTGGCGGTCCACCCGTGCCAAGTGGGGGGTTCACCAGCACCTGGGAAGGTCGCCGTCTCACAGAGGAGACGCGAGAGACCCATCCCGGAGTCACCAACGCGCAGCCGGGATGACGCCACGAACCCCGCGCGTGTCCCCCCAGCAGTGGCGGGAGAGCGCGCGGCTGTCTCCCGCACGAAGTGACACGGGCGCCTAAAGCGCTAACCCCCCCCCCCACCATCCACAAGCCCATGCAGTGTCTTTGATGGACAGCCAAGACGTATGTATGGGCTATTGGAAGCTTCGGGTCTTCTTGGCCACGGTCATGCCCTTGTGACACGTGGACCCCCCCGTGAATGGAACATCATCGCCAGTTAGAAGCATTAAGGTTGGCCTGCCTTCCGATCCATCCTGGGTTTGACCAGGCTGGTTTGTGTGAGGAGCTCACAAATCCTCGAAAGATCTGGACACAGTCCCATCGGTGAGCTCCTCCGGCAGGCAAGGCTGCGTTGGCTGGGTCATGTAGCCCGCATGCCCAGCCACCGCATGCCTAAACAGCTTTTGTTCGGCCGAATCGAGGGTGCTAAACGGGTGCGACACGGGCTGGAGAAGAGATGGAGTGACATGGTACAGAAGGATGTGGAGCTGAGTGGACTTGCCGATGACTGGTACCAGCGGTGTCGAGATCGGCCTCTATGGAGGATGCTCGTGATGGGCGCTGCTACTGGGCAGTTGGAGGCAGTCGCGCACCAACAACAACGGAGGGCAGAGGCGCGACGCTCACAACAACGAGCGGAGCGTCGGGCGGCTAAAACGCAGCAAGTTGGCACAGGAGGGGGCACAGGTGGTGCATCGGCCAGTCATCTCAGTCATCTCAGTCAGTCGACCAATGGCACCTGGGTCTGTCGCGTGACCTTTTGCTAGCGGAAGTTCAACACTTCACGTGGTCTTAACGTGCACATAGCCTGGCACAAGCGCCGTGCTGACGTCACCGCCACTTAGTGGCGAATGGGGGTTGTTGTATGTGAGTTCGATTCCGACTCACGGCCACCAACACCAGTGACGATTGTCAGAATCGGTCCTGGGCATCCCCTACGTCGACTCAACCTCAAATGAGTGCCTGGTGCAGTGTGGAGTAAACATCCTCGCTGGGGGAGACAAAGGCGGCCGGGCATGGTTCTGGCTCCTCCTACCTCCCACCCCCTCGTGTGCAGTGCCAGCCTTCATAGGTGCTACTCGCTAACAGCACTTGCCCCAACAGCCTGTTAAGGCTATACGGGGGAATATTTGCCTTTGGCTGTTGCGCTATGTTAAAGAACCCCCCCCCCCCCGTATAAAACCTGAACAGGCTTTTGGGACAAGCGCCACACACAATGCGGGAAGGGTCACCGGCAAACCCAATGCCGCCCCCCCTCCGACCGCCTTTGTTGCGGGGGGGTCGAACTCTGCATCGGAGGCCAGCGGTGTCGCGTTCTCCGCTCAGCGCGCCACCGTGCCCCCCCCCCCCCCCGCCTGAGTGGCCAGGGCGCAGTGGGGGGGGCATTGCAACGGAAGATGTTTTGCAATGGAAGCGCCCCGGATGTCCCCAAATTGCCTTCCTTCTCGTAAAGAGGAAAGATGGTGATGAGAAAGGTTTTTTGCTGTTGTCCGTCTCACAAATCCTGAGAAATATAACCCCCTCTCTCCCTTTCCCTCCCGTCTCCCCTCTCCATCCCTCCCTCCCAGCCAAACGCGTGAGATAAACAGACCCGAAAAACCACAACCGACAGGAATGGTTGGACATTTTATTGATTGCAGTGCAGGACAATCCATTTTGGATTTTTGGCCATAACACATCGCAATTCCGACAGATTACCTGCTAATTACTCAATTGGAATGACCCAGCATGGACGTAGATTTGTATGACGTATGTATGCCTATGGGACATTTTCGCCAGTATCAAAAATGATGAAAAAATAGGAATATGGTTTTCCCTTTCTGGCAAAATAGAACAGGTGTCAAGATGTTCAAACACCACATAGATACTTTTTGCAAGACATCAAATGTGTGTTGAACTTATTTCGCCACCGTATGTAGCCAACCGTGCTAATCCGAGGTGCAGGGGAAGGACAACAAACTAAACACACACAAAAAACAAATGTACAACGTCACTGGTTCTAGATTTGAAGCTTTCGTGACTGCAAGGATTCATACTCTTTGGTTTTTTCGGTAAAGTCACGTAGGTAAAATTAAAATAAATGAAAACAACTAAAACGTCACTGGTGTTGGCCAAAACACAACCCAATGCTGACAGATTACCTGCAAAATTTTCAATTGGAATTACACACAGCAGCAACACCCCCTCCCCTACTGCTAAAGCCTGGCAGGACCCCTCCTGAAAAAGTTTCTTGAGAGTCAGTGATAATGACCTGGGTAAACAAGCGTAATAATAATAACACTATAATTGACTACATTATTATCATATAATTAAGGACGTAGATTTGTATCATGCATGTATGTATATTGAACTTCTTTCGCATCGTACATAGCCAACCGTGCTAATTGGAGGTGCAGTGTTGAGTCCATGGCAGTGTTAGTCTATGGGCAGTGTTAGTCTATGGGCTGTATGTATGTACAATATGTTGAACTTCTTACGCACCGTACGTAAGCCAACCTTGATTAATCGCTCATCCAGGCACTATCCAGGCTTAAACCGCCACACGTAGTTTCCGACAGCTTTCGAGAGCTTAGAGAGGAGATCAGGCGCGATTTTGGTCCAAACACTGTGCATTTCAATAATAATACATAATAACGAAAACAAACATTTAGAAACATGCGTCTAGATAATTTTGCTGCTATACATTGCCACATGATGGACCACTTTGTTGAGCTACTATTTGCGATAGCCAGGTCGTTTCTGAAAAAGCAGCTCAGAGCTCAATGGGCTTTACATAGTAAGAAAAACATTATTTAGTTTTGTTTGTTGTATATTTGTTTCAGTTATTTGTTGAACATTTCTATACTTTGCACTCCTATCGTGTTTTTGAATTGTTTGTTGCTGTAACCTTTCTGACCCCGTGCCCCTACGCCTGGACATCTGTGAAAAAAGAGCTTTATAGCTCATCGGATTCCCTCCTCCAGTCTAAATCAATATTCTGATATTGGGGGCTGCTTTGCTGCTACTACGACTACTGCTGATGATGACGAACAACGGTGATGCCGTGGTCACGTGACCGAGCCGGAAGGAGGTCGAAGGTCAACGCAGCAACTTCAGCCACGGACCCCTGCAAAGCACTGTTATAGGAAACAAATAACTTATAAAAAAATATGCAAATAAAACAAAAGCATTGTTTGTTGTTGCAACATTTCTCACCCCGTGCCCATATTGCTGGACATCTGTTGAAAAGAGCTTTATAGCTCATCGGATTACCTCCTCCAGTCTAAATCAATATTCTGATATTGGGGGCTGTTTGGCACTGCCGATGAGAACGAACAACGGTGATGACGTGGTCACGTGACCGAGCCGGAAGTGGGGGTCGAAGGTCAACTCAGCAGCAGCAATGGATCCTGCACAGAAGATGGATCATCTTCTGGCGCTCAAAGGTGCGTGTCTTCCCTCTCTTCTCTAACTCTCTCGCTCAACACACACACGGGCGAATCGACGACAAGGCGGCTGCGATTTGATCGAGACGTAAACGTAGAGCGTTTCATTTAAAACAAAACTAAAATTAACTTTGGCGGTCCCGGAAGGGTAGGCCCGAGTCGAGGCGCCCGGGAGGACGCAACTCGCCTAGCGGCTCTGCCCGGTGCGTTGAGGGGGAGGAGGGGAGCGGGGGGGGGCGAGGTCCGGGGTAGCCGGCAGTGTGTTTGGGAGGTATCCACTCTATCGTTTTTAAAATGTAAATGTTTTAAACCGGTCGTGTTGGTGTTATTGAGTACGTGCGCTCAATGACGCCTCAGGCAATTTGTAAAGTTGCTGAGCGTTACCTTGTTTACAATATTCTTCGGGATATTACAGATGTACTCGCACCCACCGTTACGTGTGCGAGATACGAGCTTCGTGGCACGAGTCTTGCAGTGTCATTAAACACACGGTATTGTTTATTATTATTATTTAAATGCACAGTATTTGGACCAACATCGCGCCCGATCTCCCGTCTTAAGCTCTCGGAAGCGAAGCGGGGCGGGTTGAGTCTGGATAGTGGCCGGATGAGCGATTAGCACGGTTGGCTTACGTGCGGTGCGAAAGAAGTTCAACACACTGTGCATAAATACTGCACATGCATACTGCCCATACATTCCGCCCATAGACACAACGCTGCACCTCCAATTAGCACGGTTGGGCTACGTAGGGTGCGAAAGAAGTTCAACACTGTACATACGTATGGGGCAGGGGGCTGGCAAACCGTGGCTCCGGAGCCGCACGCGGAACTTCTTCGTGACGTTTATTTGTGAATCAGAGTATTGTATTTATACTTCAGGAGGAATCCGATGAGCTATAAAGCTCTTCACAGATGTCCAGTTAGGGGGCACGGGGGGTAAGAACGTTGTCAAGGACCCTCCCCACCCGTCTCATTCACCACTTTGCATTTGAAGGCTCTTGAAATATTGAGATGTTATTGTTTTTGTTACCGAATTAATACCTGTCAACCCCTTATATCAGTGCCCAAGCTTATTATTGACCAATTCAGACCTTATTGGTCGCCCCGTGCCCTTATACATATCAACGTTCATCCTACAAAGTCCCATCACAAGGGAGAAACGCAAATAAACAGACAAGAATTTGCTTTTGCCCGTATTGAAACGACTGTACGCCTTATGGACCTGAAAACTCAATTTTCCTGTACAAGAATACGGGGTAAACCGTATGGGTTGACGTGTTGCGAATTCGAAAACAAAAATTACCCTGCTCGTTATTTTGGTTTTGCCCGACCGCCGGGCATCGTCGGCGCGATGAGCGGAGGAGGTAGCTAGCTGTGTGGCACAAATCCGTTGGATGTCTCAACAAAGTGTTGACAGCCACCTGCGGCAACTTGCGGATTCGGAGCCGCATGCTGGCTCTTTTACTTCTTTCCCACCCCTCCCCCCGTGAAGGCAATGTGTTAAATACGGCAGGGAATGGGTCACTATGGAATGTAGATGTAATTTTACGTGAAAGTCGTCTGACGTAATTACTGGCGATACGTCGTACTCGGATTATTTCTGTTGTAGATTTGCTCTCCAACACACCGGTATGCTGTGCTAGTAACGCATTGACATGTTATCTTTACGTGACAGACCTTACTAATTGGCTGTCGGGTGGTGGCGGGTTTAACGACACGTATTTTTACGTGCTCTAACCCCAAAAAAACCCTGTATTATGGATGATATCGGTCGCGAAATTCTACGTGTTAGACTAAACACAATTTAACGTAAAGGTGATGTATTAAATACGGCAGGGAATGGGTCATTATGTAATGCATGTTCTGGTGATGACAAAATGTACAATAGTCAAACTCTATTGTTAAGGAATAACTCAAGGGGGGAAAATAAACTAAACCTTTGGGACATTTTTTGCAGGTATCCAAATTATGAAAAATAAGAATAGGTATTTTACCATTTGTGGCAATAAAACAGAAGGTGTTAAGATTCTAGATTTGGCGACCTGCGCTTGACTTTCTTCACTCCAACGCTGTCCTCTGGACAGTTTGGTCCCTTCACCTGATGAAGGCCACTTGTGTTGTGGCCGAAACGTCGTGATTTTTGTTGTTTTGTTTTTTTACCTACGTGACTTTACCGAATAGAACCAAAGAGTAGGTGTTAAGATGTTCAAACATTAAATAGAAACCTTTTGCAAGGCATCAAGTACTGCATTTGTGGCAAAACATGAAGACAAATACGCTCCGATAATAATGTATGCATTGTCCTTGAAACTGATTGGCCTACACCAGAGACCGCCTCCTTCATGGCATTGTCTCACCACCAGTGTCAGACCAGAGAACGCCAAAAGGTGAACAGCACAAAGACAATGCAAGTATCAGAACACTTACAGCTCGGCATCGAACAGCTCATTCCATCCCCTGTTTTGTTTATTTACGTCAGAATGTGTGTTTTCATCTGCTGTCTGCCCGCTGCTGTGTGTTGTGTACAAGTAGCTCTGCGTGTGATGCAGCTCTGGAACTATTTTGGTCAAAGACCAAAACACAAAAAAATGGACCCTCTTCTTCTTAGAAAGGTTGCCGACCCCTGACCTAGGTTTGCGTATGTACGTTGAACTTCCTTCGCACCACCGTACGTAGCCAACCATGCTCATTGGAGTTTCGTCTCCTGGCATCGCCGTTCTAACCGTCTATGTCATCGTTGAAACTGACGATAAAAAAAAATCGGCAAAGTTTTGAGCGTGAATGTTATTTTACAACATCGTTGCTTTGCTGTTGTTTGCCAGTCGAGTCAACCTTAAAAAAAGAGATTCTTAGCTCAATGGGCTTTCATCATCATCATGCGTTGTGAGGTCAGCATTGCTTCACAATTTGGTTCCGGCCCAGCATGACAGAGAGCCGGTGGGAAAAGCCACCGGTACATTGTGAGCCCCACGCTGTGGCTCGGCTCTAATGTAACGATGTAAATGGGCACAAGGGCAGAGGACCCTGCCGGGCTTTAATGTCTCAGTAGAAAATGGGGGTGCCACGATGGCTAGGAGATGTTAACTACCTCGCCTGGTATACAGGAGGTTGTGGGTTCGATCCCGACCCTGACGCCTGCTGTATATTTGGAGTTTGCATGTTCTCCCTATGATTGCTTGGATTTTTAATCGGGTCCTCTGGGTTTTCCCTCCACATTTAGAATCAACATGCGTTTAGAGTAATTTCACTGCTATACATTTCCACGTGATAATAAGCCACTTTGTTGAGCTATCATTTGTGGCCAGGTCGCTTCTGACAAAAAGCTACACAGCTCAGGGTGGCCTTACCTGGTAAAATAAAAATAGTAAATAGTAAAATTTTGTGCAGGGTCGCTCGTAATATATTGCAAGAGGTTGCCATTTGATGAGTGGCCACATCCAAAGAGAGAGAGAATGGAAATCTTTTTCTGGGTTCTGGGGTGTGGAAACATCTTCCCGTGTCGCTGACCTCAGACAAACCCGGCACGAAACGATGCTGCCCCCACCCCCACTCCTCTTGGCCACGATATGCACACACACACACACGCATACGCACACTGTCAGCCACTTTGTTAAAAAAAAAACCTACGGCCGCGGGTTTTTAACGCAGAGGAGAGCCGCCTTGAGTCGTCCTCGATGCCCAACTCCCCGCCCTCTAAGCCCGACCTGGAGGTGACGGTGCATGCGTGGAGTGGCTTCCCCGGGCTGCCGCGGCCACCCGACGGCTGCTCCTTGCGCCGCGCCGAGGACACCCTGCGCGGCTTCCCGAGCAAAGAGGCCCTGCCGCGGTTCCGCCCCTGGTTTGGGGACCGCGGCCAAGGGGCACCGCAGGCAACGGCGAGGTTGCGTCCGCTGCCGTGGAGGCCCGAGCGCCGCCCGCCCGCCGTCTCCATCGGGGGGGAAGGCTCGCCGTCGCGGCGACGTGCAGAGGAGGAAGGGCGGGAAGAGGATGAGGAGGAAGAGAAGAAGAAAAAGAAGCAGGAGGAGAAGGAAGCGGTGGCACTGGGGGGTCTCAGTCGCCGGGATGCGTTGTTTATGCGGACGTGGTGCGTGCCGGTGCCCGTGCCGAATTGTGGCATCTCAACCACTGGGAGCCTCTCTGGCTTGGGCGGCGGTGGTGGTGATGATGATGATGACGATGAAGAGGACAAGGAGATGAAGCGGGTGCTAGAGCGGCTGGGCTTTGGGCCTGGCCAGCGCTTGCGCTGGGTACTGGGCTGGCAGAGTTTCAGCGGTGGTGGGGGTTTGAAGCGACTGGGACGAGGAGGCAAAGATGGGAAGGGGACACTGACGGGTAATCCGGACCGGATGGGAAATTCGGAGAGGCATCCAGAACGGTCGCAAAAGCCAGCGGACGATCCAGGAGCACTGTCCGGTCAACGCGAGCAAGCAGGAAAGTCCCAGGTTTATCTGGAGCGAACGGACGTGTCGGGACTTGATTTGCAACCAGCAGGGAAGTTGGAGGGTTGTCTGAAGCAGGCGAGGAACCCGGCAGACAATCGAGAACCAATGGCAACGGCCGAGAACAACCGAGAGCTCGCGGCAATATCCGGTTCGGAGCGAGCGAGACCTCTGGTAGGCCGTCCGAAACGTGAGGGCGCGCCCGCAAGTAGTCCCGAGCGAGCGGGAAAGTGGGACGGGCGTGCGGAGCTTGCGGAGCCCACGGATATCCCGGTGATCCCGGTGACCGCGGCGGCCCCGGCAGCGGGCAACCTCAATTGCGTGGGGGTGCCGACGAGCAGCAGCCCGGTGCAAGAGCGGGAGTGGGAAGATGGGGACGGTGGGCGTGCGGCCGACGCCGAGCGGCGCGGACGGGCGGCGCTGCGGGGCGCGTGGTCGCGGCTGTGCGGGGCGATGGCGCGGGGGGAGATGCGTGGGTGCCACGGGCGTCTGCGGGCCGACCTGCCCGAGCTGTGGATCTACTGCGACGCTGGCGCGGCTGCCGCGGCAGGGCGGCGCGCCA